TTGGACTCACTCTTCGGTCCTTGGAGCAACCAGAAGCTATCAGCCCAACAGCGCATACGTTTAGCTTGTCATCTTTTTTGTGCCTCTGAATTTCGCTGGAATGTCGGAGAGATCCGGATCCTGGTGGTTCCCAGCCATCCGGTTCCTCAGGTTTTTTTTCGGTTGTTAGGGTGTAGTGACTTAGTGGTTGGGTTTCCATTTAACCCACAAACAATATTCAACCTTGCGCAGGGATCTGAAAACGGACAGCCCACTTGGAGCACCCACGCAAAGAAACCGTGTGAGGACTCATCGTCTTCAGTTTCTTCATCGGCACCATCAACCAGTCCCTGGGCAAGTTGGGCAGCCTCACCGCCCAAGAGACTCGACAGAATACACTGGTGAGGCACTACGTGGTGGAAAAGCACATCTCAGCGGCTCGGCGTTTCGGCTCGGCCAAGCCGCTGTTCATTATTTCCGCTTAAGAAAACCAAAAGGGGATGGAGAATGTCTTTGCTGATATATGTTTGCATATGTACATATACATACATACGTGGTCGTATATGATTATGATACAACAAACAAATCCTTCCCCATGCAGCGCTTGTACTTTCCCACCCAAACGCTATTCTCATCGTCCCAGTTACTTTGCAGCCATTGACTTTGGTTTGCATTGCGAGATCTATACCTGGGTGATGTGGTAGATGGCACAACTCTGCGGGTAAGTTTAGAGGGTATGCAGCCAATGATAGTTTCATATTTAGATAGCTGAGTTGTTGATTGATAAGCATGTTAATCAACACAAGTTATCTTAAACCATTGAAGACACGTCGATGCGCATGTCCAGACGTTTCACATATGTATGGATTGACCCGTTTGTATTATTTACGCACGCAGACGGACAGTCTAGAATCAGCACAAAGAGGTTTCACAGCCAAAGATTCATACATTTTATAATACTCATTTAATACATGTATAAGCTAGTACCCGTTCTAGGATTTGCACTCTACGTAGGCCAACTTCCCGGTATTTACTGCGCACTTCACTATGACTTCCCTAAAGTCTAGCTTAAACATTGGCTTCCTGACACTGGCATGCGCAAATTTCATTTGTGGAAAACGATACCGGGACAAAAACCTCGCATGTGCAAGTTGACTCTCGCTGAATGTAAGGTTGTCAGACTAGGATGCAATCCAGTCAATCCCCACGTGAGGTGGAGCTGGCAGCAGACATCCTGAGGTGTATTCGCAGGCGCAGACCAACAGCCCCCCCCCCCACAATCCCTCAGGAACAGGTTCCAACATTCGGGCCTCGGGTCGATTCTGGGAACCTCTCTCCAATGGAAATTGGGCTAGGAGTTGCCTCTTACAGGGACTGTTCAGCCAGGGGTAGCATCCGGGGACGTGGTTGCCCTTTGCCAAAGTGGATTTCCCCCATGGAACGCCGAACAGGTTTGGTTTCCCGCGGTGGCCCTCAACCTTGATGTTCTTAGCGGGATACGGTGAATAGTTGGTACGTGTAGCACGTATTGCTTTAATTGGCCAAGGAACCCGTTCGGGGATGCGTCGTCTTTTTGTTTTGTGGTTTATCATGTTTTATCCAGACTGCTGGACACCCAGATAGGCGCTTAGCGGCTTGCCTGGCTCAATGGGGTGAGTTGAGACATGGTTGGCCCTGGGGCAATGGGCGGTTATGGAACCCCAAGGGCTTCGGATGACATGGCAGTTTTTGTACGAACAATGTTCCGGAAAAAAAGGAAAAACAACTGTCTAAGACCCCAAGACTACATTAAGAGTTTGCTCCTTTTTCCCATCTTCCATGGAGTTTGCTCCTTTTTCCCATCTTCCATGGAGTTTGCTCCTTTTTCCCATCTTCCACGGAGTTTGCTCCTTTTTCCCATCTTCCATCTTCTATTGGTTTGCATCGCATGCGGAATCAAGTTGATGCAATCGGAGGTTTCTGTTCTTTTCTTTCGAAGCGCAGGAACGAGCCTCAAAAAATGGAACTGACTCCCCGAGTTCCTGGACTTCAAGCTTTGTGGGAAAACCAGTTTAGCGGTAAATGCAGAGTTTGGTTACATTTTTCGGGCCATCCACTCGGGATGTGAGGAAACCACCCCCGAAATGATACTTAGGAGATTCAAGTCCCGAGGTACCCCCCCCCCCAGGGGGACGGCTCCCAGAACTGTAAGGCACACGCCAAGGCTTGCTGGACCTTCCTCAAAAGTCTCCGAGACGTCCTAGCGAAACGACAAAGGATTGCCAGCGACCCAATGCGTTTCGGGTGCATTTTTTGGGTGGTTGGTGAATGTGGCGGGTCCTGTCCCAATCCGCGGTTGCCCTTCCGACGAAGACATCTGGGAAGGCTCGTGCGTTGCTTTTTTGTAGTGTTACTGGCACCAAACTGCTCCAGCAGTCTAAAAGTAGACCACCATTTGTTTTACAATCATGGGAGTCGACAGTTTGGTTTCCCGTTGTTCAGGTCGTCACGTTTCTTGTGCCAACCAGGTCAAATGGGGGGCACAAAAACGGCAGAAAGTAAGAAACACATCGAAAAAGACAAACTTTCAAGGGTCAACAACAAGATCCCTGGCAGGAAATAAACCTTGTCCAAGACCCAGCTAGGGGATCGATGTTTGTTCGACAGGCGCGGCCTGGGCAAGGAGAACAGCAAGCTGGTGCTTTCGGACATCAAGATCTTGGCGCCTTGACCGCTGGATCACGGATGCTAGGTCCCCCAGTAGTGGCCTTGGGGAGGGTTCCCCTACTAAAATAGACTACAGAAAAAAAGGTTGCCCTTATTCTAACCTCTCTACTGGAGGACCTAGGATGTACTTCTTTGGCTCAGGTCTGTTTCCGTCCCGAGACGCACCCTCGCAAACATCCTCATGTTCAAATGGGTGTGGCTCAAAAATCAAAGAGCCAGGGTTACGCAGGTTTTAGTCTTGTGCCATTTGCCAAGAGCCCAAGCAGTTAGAGAAAGAACTGAAACTTGTTCTCTTCTGGATGTCAAGTTGCAAGTGCAAGGAGATCCCCAACAGAATCGCCTAAGATTCATTCGGAGCTCTCCGAAACCGAAACCCGCCGAGCGGCAAATGCCCTACAACTGGGAAAAAAGACAACTCAGAGGAAGCAAAGACAAGAGCAGATCCCAGATTTCCCCTCAAAGAGTGGATTCATGTCCCCAGATCAGGGTGGTTCTGAACCTCCGCCATTTAAAAGAAAGTTTGATTGAGTGTCCGGTGACAAAGGCGACCATTCCCAGGGAGCCTTTCAAAGAAGCCAAGCTCTGGCGCCAAAAGTTTGTTTGAGACGGTCTTTGGAGTTAGAGTTGCCTGAAGTGTCAGGGCTTCTGGGATGCTTGGCATATTCCCTGGCCCGCCTTCGCTTACATTGGATTTTCCTCATTTGTGGCAGGCGGGTTTGTCCGACCGAAGCATTCTGCGAATGAAGGTCTGTGAATAGAGGGTTCGTGCAGATGTGCATGTTTCCACCTCCAAAAGGGGAGTTCTCATTGAAAAAAACACGGGTCCCGCCGTTGATTACCGCTTTTTCTGATGCTTTTCCGTTACGCCCCGGACATACCCTTTGACAGCGGTGGAAATTCATGCCCCCCATCGGATGTCTGGGGCGTGGCCTGGCCACCCAACCTATGATGACCTAGTTGGGAGTGTCTTCTTTTTGTAGGGGGCTCCTCTTGGTTGCAGGGGAAACCAACATGACACCAACCGGTTTCCCTGCATATCTCTACAGAACTTAGCTCATGTTGGAGCCGGTGCAAGTGGAGGCGGTCCCAATCCAATTTTTGTGCGGGCCGGACTATCCCTTCTTTTCATTGCGACTTCCATGGCGGGTTGTCCGTAATTTTGATTGGCGATGGACTTCCCTTTTGGACCCTTGAAACACATGTAAAATGAACCATTTGTTCTGAGTTGCTGGACTTGAAACTTTTTTGGCAAAGACATGGAGTGTTTTTTTTGGCCAACCCACTCAGGAAGTGAGTTGTTGCACCCTTGACGGGTCCGTCACCCCTGTAGAAAAAAACAGATCCACGGCCCTGAGGATTCCTTGGGTTTCGGTTCAGCTGATGTGCGCCCAAGGAAAGCCTCCCTCGGAAGCTCCTGGTCCAACTGCAGCAGGAGGTCGGTATGCCCATTTTGGAGTCCCACAGTATGCTGAAGCACGTGTCTCATCCGGCAGCCTTAGCATGCTGTTGTTTGTTCTTTTTTGTGTGTGCGTTTCGCTCTTTCTTTTTTTGTGTGTGCATTTGTTTGTTTGTTTTGCCCGGTGCTGAGACAGCTTTCGTGGCACCGTTACCAGCTTCTTCGGAATCGCGCTCTAGTTTGGGACTGAGCAAAGTGCAACAAACGAAGTACGATGACAGCTTCTCGTTACGTGTTTGTCTCTTGGGGTTTTCTGTTTGAGGCTGACCCCTTACGCCACCTCCCCCGAGTTGCTAGTCAGGGGGATTTCCCTGGCTGAAAGGAATCCCTACTAATACGGGACTTGACTCAGGCTTGGTGGTATTAATTGCCATAACGAGCTTTGCTGGGTGTGATGCTTGAAGCGAGCATCTAGGTTGCCTTGTTTGGCCAACATCATCATGACGAATGCTTTTGACGAAACGTGTTTTTACTTGGTCACTGAGTGTCCTTTTGGTTTGCTTTACCACTCCAAAAGGGCATCCTCAAAAAATATGCTGCCAAATGATTCTAATGATCGGATTCGTTTGCTACCAGGGTTGGGCTGACCCTTTGCACCTGTTGCATGCCTTGCGAAAGTCGGTGTATCGGTACTCACATACTCAAAGATCCACATATTGCCCTGGTATCCCAAGTTGTCTAGTCCTTCCAAATCCGCGGGCAAATCAAATCTTTAGGGTCCTTTGGGTGCAACCACGAGTGGTTCCATCATCTTGGCTTTCTTTGCGTTGAGTGTGCTCTCATTGAGCAGCCATGGATGTTGGGCAATCTTGCATGTGTCCGACAATTAAGGGCTTCTATTCAATGGTCTTGAACACGGAGATCAATCAAGTATTGGCTGCTCTTGCGTGTGTGTGCATGTAACCTTTGATCCTTTCTAGCCTTCTTGAAATGGTTTTTGGCGGGTGATTGATTCCTCTGTGGCTTAACCAAGGTAATAAGCTTTTTTCATTTTGTGAACCATGTACCTCCCACCAGCAAACAGATTCCCCTAGCTCAGTTCCGGAACCCTCGTAGACCAAAGGTGTACGCAAGCCATCCCACAGGGGGAAATGTCTGTCCTCAAAACTGATCTTTCGGTCCAAGCGCTTCAGGTGTCTGCCATGAACTACAAGGATATCGCTGCACTGTGCCCCTGGGATCTCAAATTATCGCTCGACTTTTTTGTGCCGGTTCCTTCAAGTGAAGGCTTCCCTCCAAATCTGGGGGAGGGGCATCTCTCCCTATAAATCATCCAGAGGCGGTCTTTCATCCTGGTCTTTCCATGAAACAAGTCATCCCTTACGGCGGGCTTTGCTACGGCAGGCGCGGAACTGGTATGCCAGCGGCGTCCTTCGGACGAGAAATCTGCAAATCGATTCGACTGATCAGGGCTCCTCAAAAGATCGATACATTTTGCAACCATTTGAAGCATGTTGCTTTTTCCACCAAAATGGGGAAACCACCATTTTCAAGTTGCAATGTTCAGGTGTATAATGTAAGGATCCCTGCTGATTCTCAGATCTGGAGCTCCTGGAGGTTCTAGTGTGATCTGCTTCAGGTGAGGTGAAACGATTGTTTAATTTGTGCAGACGTACCAGGCCCAAAGAGACTGCGGAAACGAGTAAACAAGGATCTTCACCTAAGCCTTTGTGAGGAGTACCCGACTCCAAGACCCAATCTGCGAGCCATCGGCATTTCGAGCCGGTTTCATGTTGCCCAAGCAAACTTGGCAAAAAAACTGGCTCGATGCCTTCTCTGCATTAAACGCTGGTAAATCAGACATATGTTGTGGCATAGATTCATTTCGCTCAGAGCCCTCCAAGCCGCCAAGATCTTCAGCGGTGCCCTCTGCCCTTCTTAAAACGCTGGGCACACCCTTGACATCAAAGAGCCAGGGGCTTTTTGTTCTGGCTTTGTGATGTAGCATGTGCCTGCTCGATACTGATCATCCTTGAACACACCAATCTCAGCTCTTGTTGGTGTGTCTCTTGTGTGTTTCGTTTTCTCTTAGATGCAGTCCCTCTTCTTTGTTTTTGTTGTTTTTCTTGGGGGCTGGTAAAACACAAGGGTGTTTGCGTACCAAGGTTGGGCAGACTTGGTTTGGTCGCTTGCAAGCTTCTCGCTTCGATTCGGTGTCGCACCCTTTGCAGTTGACATGGCTCAAGGCTCCCAATCCTCCAATTTTTAGCTTTCCCACATCCAATTGCCCATATGAGCGCCCGCCAAAACCTCTGGAAGACCAATATGTAAAGGGCTCGACATGACGTACCAAAGGCGCATATTGTGGGTGGCTCGTCTGTTTTGAGTTGGTACCCTGTTTGGGGTTGGTTTTTTACAGGGACAGACCGGCTCTAGGTTGAACTTCCCAATCTGAATCCGAACCCGCCAGCCGAAATGGAATTTGGCGGTCAAAACCCCATTTTGGTAGGTCACCAGCAAAATTTTAGAACATATTTTAGTGGGGATATGCGGGGATTGGGATGTTCACTTGGGGTAACCGGGATTTTGACCCATGGCCATTTCGTTGAACAAGAAAAGGTTATGCACAATCTGAAGATGAAATCCTCGGACTCCTTTTCATGTTCTTGGGCACCGGCCTACGAGCCTCTTTTCTGTACCCGCTACTTGCCTGGCTTTTTGGGAGATGGACCTTTCTGGGGAAAAGAAGAGCCACCCAAAGGTTCCCTTTTTCTAAGCGGGTCACGTCACCCAATCCAAGCCAATGGAATCCTCTAGGCAATCGAGCCCTGAAAGAGATGAGCGTGGTCTACGGCGAGGAGCACTTCGCTTCGAGAAAACAGTTGCCGGACGTCGGCATACAAACAAGTTGCTTCTGCACTTGTAGGCTGGTATCTGAAGACACGGAGCCAGGTACATGAAGGCTTGTAAATATCAGGGTGATCTTTCTTCACTTGTGTTTGACACTAGATGTCACCAACAACGGTGTTGCTCTTCTTTGTTTGGCATGTTTCCAACAGCGACAGAGTCTGGCTATGGAGAAGCACCGACATTTTCCTTACTTCCCAACCGGGCCCACTGGATCCTTTTTGCCTCAGAATCGCTCGCAGACCCAACCGACGTTAGTCGTTGAGTCCTCGTGTTTCTTCCATTTAAGGTTAATACTATGTTAGTATTAATTTCCCCTTGTTGGCTTTACAGGGAATCTATCACTGCTGGACGTTTTTCCCCCTGTATCTTTTCCAGGGGGCTCTACTGCTAATGGAAGTGTTCCTTCCAGGAGCGGAGTCGATACAGCAAGCTTCGAGAGCCAAACGGAACGTTGCCAGACTCCACCTGCGTCCCGTGAAATGAGGCACACATTTGGCAGGGGTTCTCAAAGCTTCTGTTTTAAGGTCCGTTAAAACCACCACTGCCATTGGCCAGGGTTGCGGGATCAAGGGGTTTTTCTTCTGTAATACAAGGGAATCTCCCCCTTTATATGGGGGTTAGTCTTTGGGAAGCCCTTTTTGTTGTATCACAGAAGTGGTTATTTCCCACGCTGATTGGCACGCTTTTCGAAAGCTATGATAAAAAGACGGGTCTGTCCTTCTTTCTTTTCCGGGTACCCCCCAAACTGGTGGTGTTCCTTTGGTTTCCTCTAAAGACCAAAACCGGGCTCCTCTTTTGAGTCCCTTGATGGAAAGTATTTGTCAGGTACCATTCGTAAGTCAGGTTCCGATTTGGGTATCGGTGGAACCCTCACCTTTTGAAGTTCCTTTTTGAGTGCAAGAAATATTTGACCCCTGGTCGTCTCAATTTTGGAGTATTACCGTCCAAGTTCTTGAGACATTCCCAGAGACATGCGGTGTGAACTGAACTGGCATTGGTTCGATTCCCTTTTACTCAGCCAGGCGCTGTCATTCCATTTTTTGTGCAGGTGCTTTGGTCAAGCTGGTCTGGGCCCCCTTGGGGTGAGGCCATCTCGGGCCTCACCGCAAAGTCTTCCCAGAACTTGAATGGTTTTTTGGGGGACATGGACTCACCAAATTTCGGCCACAGCCAGCAAGCCATGCGAAATTGTGCCATGGTCAAAAGACTGGTTCCTTAGTTTGGGCCACCTTGTAGTAAGGATCCTCGGCCATTCTAGTGATTCCTGTTAGTTGAGGGAACCATGACCACAGGCCAAGGGTTTTTGGCCGGAAATGGGGTCACGTCCTTTGCGCCGACCTGATTTCACATTGCAAGTGAGCCGCTTTCTGCGAGCCGGGGAGTCCAACCGAAGTGAAGTTGGAGGAAATCAAAGGCAACTTGGCGTTACAGAAAGGCGCGCACTGGGGACTCAAGTCCGAGAACCGAATTGGGGGTGTGCCATTGTCAATGGGCATTTGCTAGGTTGAGGAACATCCCAAATCTTCTACCAAGCATTTTTGGTCCAATAGGGGCAGAAGCATTACTAATAGTTTACCCCTACATTTGGCTACCCCTATTCCACTTATTGACATTGAGGCCCTTACCAAGGACTATACCCTGCCTATATGGATCTGTGTTTTTTGGAGGTCACCCTTTTCAGGTAGGTTTCCAGGGCAGCCAATCGGAAAGCCACTGCAAAATGGCGGATCGATCCCGTTTCCCCCTTAAGACAGACCCATATTTGGCTGTGGGTCAAAAAAGGGTAACCCCAAAATGGCATAGGCCCTAAGTGGCAACGACCAAGACCTGCGCTCCGATTCCTACATGGTTTTTATTTTTTGGACCCACTCCCATCGAACGGATTTTGGTGTATGTGCCATGCCAGCCCAACCTCGAGAGCGGCGCAGGAGCTGTTCCAAGCCGGCTTCCCCGGGGAGAAGATGTATTTCGTGCGCAGCGGGATGCTGAGCCGCTGGCTCGGCAAGGGTTCCAAAAAAAAGATCGATCTCCATTTTGCAACCGTTGGAAACATGGCTGTGGCTCAAAAACATGTACTACAATGGCACCTTGGTAAATGGAAGCAAAGACCAAAACCTGCGTAACCCTAGCTCTGAAATTTTGAGCCACACCCACATGTTGCTTTTAAACACCAAAATGAAGTTGGAAATCCACCATTTGCAAGTTGCAATGTTCAGGTGTATAATGCAAGGATCCCTGTGCATGACGTCTTTGGATCGTCCAACATTTGCCAGGTGGTTGGCCACTCGGGGAAGGAAAAACAAGGCGAGAAGCAGCATGCAAACAACTCTCTTGGCAACGAACACCCAAGTGTTTGTGCTTTTGTGTTCGTGGGTCAAGGTTTGGGACCATCGGGGATATCGTTGCTGGCCAAAATGAACAAATAGGTTTAAATACTAGGCTTGGGGTTGAACGCCGATAAATGTTATGCCAAGAAGGCCAAGCCTTGACTGGTGTTGGACCTCATAAAAAACCGTATTTTCTTTTTGATTTTCGACTTTGTTGGTAGTTCCCCTTTGTTTTGTTCTAGACACTTTACTGGCTTTTTGTTCTGGACCCCCCGCCCTTTCACCGGAAGATCTGCCGGAAACTCGTATACCACTTCGCCGGGTTGGAACCCGGCGAACTTCGATGTGGTACTGTGGATGGTTGCGACATCCAGAAATCGCACCACTTGGAAACCATGGGAAGCCAGAACGTTTGTTGGTACTTACAGGGGAATCGTATCATTCCCGGGTTTCTTAGGTGGTGCGAAATGGATTTCGTCCACCCATAGAATGTTTGGTAAGCCATGAGTTTCTATGGGGAACCACCACAATTTCCAAACGTGGTTGGAGATGATCCCCGAATTCGCATGGTCCACTCACTTCTTGAGTTGATGGACTCTATGTTTTTTGGGTTTGGACCATTTCAGTGGTAAACCAAAAGCTTTGACTTCTTGTTGGCCAATCTCTGAAAGTGAGAAACCAAGGGTTCAACTCAAATTCCCATGTGTTTATGTCTTCTTGGCTTGCGACAAGCTGTGAGGCCGAAACACCGAGACGGTGTGGTTTGGGTTGCGAGAGAAAGAAGCCAAAGGCCTTCATGATGCCATTTGGGACCAAATGTCATTAGGCCATCCAACCTACAAAAGGCGATCGACTTTTTGCTCCGAGCCCAGATGAGGGTCCCCAAATGTGCTGGGACTCGATCCTTGCAGATTGAAACTAGGGGTATGCTAGACCATGGCTTGAGTCAAGAGTTCGGGGTCGGCATGAAGTTTGAAATGAGTTCAGCCTTATAAGCAACGGTCCATGTTTGCAGAATCGGTTTTGGGTCGTCCTTTTCTTCTCGGGTGTGGCGGGTCAACGGTATCGGATTTGGGTCTTTCAGTTTCTGGAAGCAATATCGTCACTGCCTGAAAAGACTTGGGGCTTTTGGATGTCCATAATTTGTGTGTTCGACCAGACAAAACCGCTTCGCAGGTAGTTGAAGTCTGGCCGGCCAAGATGTGTGTTTCTTTTTGCCTAAAGACAGGAACCTTCAAAATGGGTTTTGGCCTTTGGGCTTCCCTCAAGAAAACCCGCCCAAAATTTGGGGTCCCCCCCCCCAAAATAATTGGTATGGGTCAAAAACAGGGGTGTGGTTTTTGAACGCGAGCCAGAAGAAACCGAACCAGTATACTGGAGACCCCAAATCATTTGCTGGAGGTTTCCCTTTGGTTTCTCCAAACAAAGCAAAACAAGCATGTGTCCCTACTGTAAATGGATGACGTCCATTTCGCACCCAAGAATCAAGAATCCCTGATACGACGTCCTTGTAAATACCAACCAACAACGGTTTGCCATGGCAACCAGCCACATTTTGAGAAACACCCCGGCCATAGGTGCCCTTGTTTGCGGTAGAAGATTAGATGGCCCTGGTTTACCTAGTAGTTTAATCATTTCCCCTAAAGGACACCTACTGTGGATGGACAAATTCCTGCGCCACTTGGAAACAATGGTTGAAACCAGAACGTTTGTTGGTATTTACAGGGGAATCATCCTTCAGGGTTTCTGAGGCGGTGCGAAATGGATTTCGTCCATCCACAGTATGTTTGGTAGGCCATTAATTTCAACCTATGACCATGTCCCTGTTTTCTACCAACTAACAACGGCAAATTTGCCGTGGCGTGAATCTCACATTTTGAGACTCACCCCGGCCATAGGTGTCCTTTTTGGTTGTCTTGGTACCTGGTAGTTTCATCATCTACTCTAGAAGGACACCTATGACCCCGGCCCTAGGCTACAACTGGGACCTGACGCCCCACATCACCGACGAGGTCTTCGCGGAGAGCCGCGTGTCCGAGGCTGCGCTGTGGCTGCGCTGGGAGTACCGGGGGCGCCTGGCCTGCGCGGACCAGAACAGCCGCGTGGCGGGGAAATCTCTAGGGGTTGATTCCCCCAGAAGCAACCAGAAGCAACCAAGGGAGCTGGGCAAAAAAACGCCATGAAAGGACCCCGAACTTCTAGGGGTTGATTCCTTGTCCATTCTTTCCAACCATCGTTCTTTTCAAAAACCAGCTGCTTTCCCTGAGTTGGGGCCCAAGGGATATGGGCCTAAAAGCAGGCAGAAAGATCGACAGGCGAGTCGAGGCCCAACAGATTTTGTGTTACGTAATTTAAGTTAAAGAACTTGATTTGGGTTTGAAGAACTTCTAGGGGTACCTTCCATTTGCATTCTTTCCAGGGATCGTTCTTTCTTTGCAGGAAACCGTCAAAAGCCCAGGTTGGAAACCGCCGGGTGGGGAATCAACCCCTAGAGAACTGTTCTGCGTCCACCGTTTCAGTCCAGCATATGTCTTAATGGCTGAATGTATACGTCGATATAGGAACCCCTAGTTTACGGATGAGTTCATTGGCTGTGGCTCAAAAAACCGGAATTCCAAAATGGAACCCTGGTAAGTGGAAACATGGACCAAAGCCTGCGTAACCCCTCCTGTGTAATTTTGAGCCACACCCAATTGGCCGTTGATTATGGCCATTTTGGACATTCGCACGGAACGGGTACAAAATGGATTCCCATAGGTGCCATAAAGAGACCTATACATTCAGCCTTTGAATATTTGTCAAATTTCCCAACCTCTGTTGGGTTTGACGGGGGGTTCTATCACTGGAACATCTTTTTGTGTTTATTTTTCCCCAGGCAACTGAAGCAAACTTTCGGGAATGTGGGGTGTGTGTTTTTGTTGTGAGAGTCACTGTTGGTCGGATTTAAAGGGAACCCCAAAGAACCCCCTTTTTTGGGGGTCCCTCACCAGAGTGGTTCTCAACATGGATTGCGGACCTTCTTTTGATGATCCCACCGAAAGTGGAACTTGCAAGGCATCAACGAACCTGCGCCCGTGATCGGAATCACAAAGAACGTAGAATGAGGAAGCCTCAAAATGGGGTGGTTTGGTTTCCCTTTGAAATCCATTGGACCTAGTCAAAAAAAAGGCACCCTCCAAAAGAAGACCCAAAATATGTTTCCCATCAAAGTCCAGTGCTCTTTCGGTGCCAACCGAATACACAAGGGTTAGATTCTCACACCCTCAAAAATGAGGGCCCCGCAGCGCCCCCCCTCACCCCGCGCCCATTTTAATGGCCACAAGTCAGGTGGTTCGAGTACCAGTTCTATTCACCCAGTTGCCCAGTGGGTTGCGTCCTTTTTTTCAACTTGTTGTTCCCCTTTTGTCCTCAACCCACTGGGCATCTGAGTTTCGGACCGGTGCGAAGCCTGCCCAAAAAAGGTCTGGGCGTTTTCTGGCCAAGGTCAGACTCTAAAGGGGATCCAAAGTCACATGGTTGTTGTTGGGAAACATTTTGCATTTTGCTTATTGTGGTTTAGTTGGAAATCCCCACTGAACTGCTTTTTTTTTTGCTCCCCTTCCAACGTCAACCAAGGAGTCAGGTCAGACTTTAAAGAGGATCCGAAGGGGTAGGAGTAACTCACTTGCCCAAAGACCACCTTTTCACCTTTTTGGTTTCCCCACCCCCCTTTCGGTCCATTTTTACTCATAGCCCCAAGGTGATCGCCTGATATTTCTCTATTTCTAGTCCCTAAGGGGCAAGTGAGGTCATTGTTTCACTTTTCCAGAGCGATCAAACCTTGCTGGTGCTGAGAAGGGAATGAGGGAATGAGCCTGGGGATTCCCTTAAAGGAAACCACAAGGGATGGTTCATAGGCTTCGTTCCCTCATCCCCTGCCTATCGCACCGCCAGCCAGAAACCGCTGAGGTTATCTCTTCAGCCTGGATGCTGTGAACTTTCGGAAAGTCATGGCCCGCGGCGATCATTCGGATCTTTTTGCGCTCTACGCCCGGCTTTTCCTGCCACCCGGAAAAAGACAAAATCCCAAGTTGGCGGAGTGGGTTGGGTCGAACCATTGGACCCAAAACACTCATCTTCCTGAGTTCCTGAGTTGTTGGACTTCAATCTTTTGGGTGTTGGACCATTTTAGTGGTAGATACAAAGTTCAGACTTTCGTTCGCCAGCCCACTCAGGAAGTGAGAAAAGGGACGCTTCGGTGTTCCTTTGCTTGCCCCGCCCCCCTAAAAAAGAATCAATCACCCGACGATGTCCGGGGCATTTTTTTGGGAGATCCTTATGTAGGAAATGGAGACAAGCGATCCTTCGGATGAGTTTCGGGAACCCGAGTAAGTCTTGCTTGTTGTACAAGGACTGCCGCAAGCAGCTCTTCCTGTCCCTGAAGCCGAGCCATTCCTTTTGAAATGGAAGGACCCCCCCGAAATCATTTGGTTTGGCTTGGTTTGGCTTGGTTTGGCTTGGTTTGGGAAGCGGTATCTCCTACTTTCATGGCTCAAAGTAGGTACCCGATTCGTGGGGTGGAAGTTATGGGGCTATCTCATGTTGTTCCCCTCTTCTACTCGTTTCTTCTCCGCCGCCAGGGCCTCAAGTACGGCAACAGCTCCATTCCAATGAGTCTGGTGCTACCTTCCATTTCCCTTCCCAGGGATCCGGATCTTTCTAGAAAACCTCCGGCAACCCAGGGAAACGGATCCCGTTTTTGAAAACACCGATGCTTGAACAAGAATGGGGAATCAACCCTTAGAATTCGGGCCTTCCATTGAGCAGCCAGTTTCAGTAGGTGGGCTTTGTCAGAGCCGGATCATCTTCAAGTGGCATTTCTTTTCGTCGGCGGCTGGGCATGGCCTTCGTGGAAAAAGACGAGTCCGTTGTTTCCCTCTCTTTCTCTTTTTCCTTTAATTCTTTTGGCAAAAATAAAATACATGGATCCGGCCCTTGGTTCGGACACCTGTAAACGGGATCAAACGAGGATCGCCAATGTTGATCTTCTCTTGCTCCCATGTGTTCTTTGTTTTGTCGCTCCTGGTAGCTTCCTGGCTTTTCTCTTGTTTGCTCCCACTCCGTCAGGGTATATGAGCCAGGTTCAGGCTAAATACCTCGGGGTTTGGTCGGGCGCAGTTCTCCCTAAGTTCTCTTGCTTCTCCCTGTTTGGCTGCGTGCTCCTCCGTTTCTTCTCCCTTTGCTTCGCTCTTGTACTTGGTGGTTCCCAGCTATCCGGCTCCTTAGGTTTTACGTCTTAGGGTTTCGTGGGGTTTTTTCCGCTCAACCCACCAAAAGTCAAGAACTTTTCGCAGTGGATCCGAGGACAGCCCACGGTAGTGGTTCTTCTCAGGGAACCAAGGCACATGCGTTGAGTTCCCTTTGGAATGGCTCTGACCCTTTGGAAGTTCTGAGCATGGCACCAGAGGTCTGTGAGGTGCTAAATAGCCCGCAATTGTCTAGCTTACGCAGAGGGGAGCAAAATGGGAATGCGCCCATTTTCTCTTATCTGGCTGTGGCTCAAAACCAATGGTACCAAAATGGCACCCTTGGCCAATGGAACCAAGCTCCAGCCATTTCTCCGGACCTACCTTTCTCTTTTTTGGCCATGGTTCAACACCAATGGAACCATTTTGGGAAGGCGCACCACCCATTTTAGTCTATAGTGGTTGGATTGGGATGTTCACTTGGGGGTACGATTTGGCTTTTGACCCATGGCCATTTCTCCGGACCCACCCTTTCCTCCCCCAGTTCCCAGTTCCCAGGAAGATGATGACGGAGGAGTGCGGTGCCACGGAGGAGGACGCCACGGACCTCTTCGGCGACGACGCCCACGTAGGGAAGTTGCTGAAGTTGGCCTCACTGCTGGCCCGGGACTCCGTGGATCTGCGGGCCGTCTTCCACGTGGCTCGGACGCACGATGACAGCGGAGAGAGACCCGGGGGTGCTTGGCTTGTCTTCCAAACTTGCTTAAGAATATGGTTTGTATTGTTATTTCCTTCCTTTTTTTTGGAAGGGAGTCTATCACTACTGGAAATATGTTATATTTTTTCCAGGGGGCTTAAGCAAATGAGGCTTGGCTTCTAGGTCTCCCAGCTAGGTGCCAACTTTTTTACCGCTTCTTTTTTGGGGGAGGGGAACCCCCCTACTAAAATAGACTACAGAAAAAAGTTGGTACCAACTTATTCTAACCTCTCAAATCTGGAGGCCTGTTGCTTTGCTTGTTTCGGTGAGTCCGCGTGTGGGTATGTGGCTAGTAAGCCAGGTTATAACCCACTGACCATTGTTATGAGTCTCCCAAGTGGGTTAGAACCGGCTTGCCAACCACCTACTGCGTATTTTGCCCCTTTAAGAAGTGATTCCATGTCCATGTCTACTCAGTAACCAATGGAACCCTTCAAGAGCCAAAAGGAAAATGACGGGTTACCTACTATAGTGGCAACCGAGTGTTGTTGTTTTCCTCGGGGATTGAGCGGCTAGTGAATCAGCAGGGAATTGGGAAATCCATGGATCCTGAATGAAACTAGGGGTAAGGGTTTTGCCGAGTTGGGGCTTCAGGGGGTCCAAAAGATACTCTCTTTGGGCATTCAATGTATTGACCTGTTTGAGACCAAACACACGGGTGGGGGGGGGGGGCTTTGCGTGGGGGGGGGGCCTTAACATGACCTTTTTCACCTTGAAACGGAAGCCACCATTTCGGGGGAGTCGCTCCTTTGGAGAAGTAATGGTTTTCCCTTTCGGACGAGTTTCCTTTTTGGGACAGATCTAGGTTGACGCCCAGAAGTGTTGCAAAAGATAATTTCCAGTGGGACTACCTTGTGGGACCCTCCCCGGTTGTTGATACCGCAAGTACCCCATCGAGGGGTGCTTGGTGGCCGCCTGTGTTGGAAGGGAGGGTTTGCTGTTGCGTTGATTTCCCGAACCCCAGATCGTGTTTTTCGGCCACCATCCAGAGGAACAGTGTAAATTCAGGTACCCTCCCATCTAACGTGGAAGCTGACTGACCGGGGGGTTCAGGAAATTGGAAGAATAGGATTTGCTCCCGCTTCCGGCCACCGCAAGTGGACACAAGGTGATAGAAACCGAACATGGCGACGGTGTGGAAAAGCACAATTTACATAGACATATCGCGGCAAGAGCAAAACCAGAGAAGGAGAGAAAATTAAACAAGAACAGCATTCAAATACGACATGCAATTCCGTCGTGTAGGTGCTTCGCAAACACATGGTCTGAACTGATTGGTTCCTTCTTGGTTTCCCTTTGACTACAAATACGGGGTCCACTATTTTGAGAAACCCCCATATCAAGCTCTATGCTGTGATTTTCAATTCAAATATTCCCCACAGGCCACCATCTGCACAGATCGAGGTCCGAGCGATACAGCCGGCAGGCTACTTGGGTCCTTTGTTTTTTAAGTACTTTTTTCCCCCCGGCAGGCTACTTGGGTCTCTTGCTTTTGGGAGGGTACCTTTTTCAAAGGGAAGCCAAAGGCATCAACACCTTTTTGGGGCTCCCATCCTGTATTGAAAAGCTGAGAAGATCTCCTGGGACTATACCTCAAGTATATCAAAGGCTGAATGTACATGCCCATATCACTGTGGGTCAAAACCGAAAGGATCCCATTTTGGGGTAGGTGAATTCACAACCCATTTTAGTCTATATATAGGGATTGGGATGTTCACTGGGGGTACGGGATTTTGACCCATAGCCATATATGAACCCCTGGTATGAACCTCTAGTTTCTGTCTTTAGTTATGGCTTATACAATTGTGGGAAAGCAGCCCAAGGGTTCAAAATGGATACCCTCCCACCAATCAACATGAACGGCCAGGCCTGGAAGACCATTGTGCCCGCGCAAATGCCGCCCATGGAGAGGGTGAAGAAGGGGCCCCTTGGCATTTGGGTCAAAAAGTATGGACCTCTTTTTGGAGCGACTTTTAAAGGGCCTCGCAAAAAACAGGGCCCAAAACGGGTACTCGTTGTTGACAAACCCCCCCATTTTCTATTTTGCAGCTGGAGCTGCTCTTGCAGCAGCGACAAAGCAGGGGGAGGGAGAACGTTGGAGTTGCACAACTTTGCAACTTAGAAACCGAAAAACTTCGCAACCGAAGTCTTGAACTGTTTGAGCCTTGTGCCTGGAACCTAAGTCCAAGTTTTCTTTGAAGCCTTGAGATCCGACTACACAAGTTTTCACCTTTGCTCTCGATCCTTCGGGGGGAAGGCGTCGCGCAGCAAGCGCTGCAGGCCCCGCTGGTTTTCCTGTATCTCTGAGAATTGACCTGTTCGTTGCCTTCGGCTTGGTTGTGGCAATGTGTATGACTCCTGGTTCATCCTGCTTGTTTGTTTTTGTTCGCTCACAAGTTGATTAATATGGAGTCAACATTAAGATACTCCTTTCAGGTTCACGAAATATGGATGAGAATCAAATATGCGATTCTGGGTTGCCAAATCCGACTTTGAGAGTTGTTTCGCCCTCGCAGACACAGATGTCCTTTTTAGGTTAGTTTAGGTTAGAAATGGCTGGCACTGGTTTAGATCGGTGTTATTCCATTTACACGGGACATCTATTTTTCCCATGATGGAGATTTGGATCATGCACCGCTGAAATGGCCCAAGCCAAGTTCTGATGAACGCTGTGCAAATCAATCACAAGCCGAATCTCTCTAAGGACCATTTGAGCTTTTCCCTCGATTCACGGCCTAGTGGTTTGAAGTGGGAGCCCTGAAATGATGAGCTGGACTCGACTGACCTCAGTGTTCGATGTGCGCGCCTTGGGGTTTCTGGGGGTTAGGCCGATATAAACCAAACACCTCTATAAGCACAAATGGGTGTGGGCCAGAATAGGGTAACCCCAAAATGGGTTGCCCTGGTAAATGGAAGTAAGGACTAAAACCAGCGGTTCTCTGGTGGTATCATTTGACCCATACCCAGATCAGTGCACTCAGCCTCTGATTAGCCTTAGATGACTTTCCTGTTTTGGCTAGATATTGAACCCTGCCGCCACCAACAGTCGAGAATAAAAATTGGATTGACGCCGCAACGGGTGACTGCTCCTGTTCGGGGGCAGAGTTCATGGTACTGACCGTCAATGCAGATTTGACTATGAGTCATGGTCATTTGAAACAAGTACGCTTTGGTTTCAAACAATCGAAGTCTATACGGACCTAGGCAAGATAGAATCATAGTGTGGGGTACTATGAACCCAAGCTATACCGCATTTATCATGTGTATTTATTGTATTTATTCAATCCGTAGACACTCTACGAGGGACACTGGGAAGTAACCTAAGGCTTTGCTGCCTGCCAGTCATGATGATGACCATGGCGAAGAAGAATAAGGCGTGGTTTGAAACAGACTCAAAGGCTTGATTTGCCCAAGTCATAAAGGGAGTGAAGGGTAGGAACAGTTGCCATCAAAATTGGCGGACTCCTTTGCTAGGCTTTGGTGTTGCCCGTTTTCTTAGGATCCAAGTTGCAAGTTTGCCAGGAGCTCCGGAGGCAAGGAGCCCATGAATCTCCCAGGACACATAAATGGACACATCTTGGCATCGAACTTGCCCAAAGAAAGCGAGAGCATTCGCACTGCAGCGATCCTTTGGGTGAAGTAGTGAGCATCCCAATCCAACCACTAAAATAGGTTCTAAAATGGGTGCACCCATCCCAAAATGGTACCATTGGTTTTGAACCATGGCCATGTGCCTTCAGTTTTTGTTTTTTTTAATGAGTGATACCGTAGTCATAGGTATGGATTTGGGTCAACCTCAAGTCGGCTTTGCAGCAGGGGCCATGTTTTAGGACCACGGATTGATCATGGTCAACCTGGTTGCCCGCCCCGAAAACACGACACTGCGAGACGCGAGGTATAGCTTTTGATCTCCTAGGTCCCCCAGTAGTGCATTTTTATCCTTGTTTGGGCAGGGTTCCCCTACTAAAATAGACTACAGAAAAAAGAGTACCCTTATTAGGCCCTTCTTCCTGGTTCTCAGGGAATGAGAAATGGCAGAATGCTGCTTCAGGAGAGCTCATCCGAGTCCCAGGATGAAGCGTGAAGCGCTCCGGGACGAAATCGAAGTCACCCAGAGTTTGGTTTTGCGGCATCCCTTTCTTTGCGGCTTGTGAATCGTTTTTTTTTGTTTTTGTCTTTTTCTTTTTTTTGTTTCTTTCTCTCCAGAGCACTGGAACGCACCGCGTTGCACAGCTCACTTCCTGTCGACGGGAAGATCTGAACAGCTCATCGAGAACATCGTGTCCTGTTTGTGCTTCAAACACCGAAGCATGTTGTTCGCTTGACAATCCAGTGTCAAACAGTTTGGGTGTGTTGCCAAATGCAGGGAAGTGAGACAATCACTCGAGCTGCCGCTTGAGCGCCGACCCTTAGCAAGTGGCTCATGGCCGGCCTTTTGGCCCAAGACTAGCAGGGCTCCTTAAAAGATACGGTTTGCCCATTTGAAACATGGCTGTTTCCACCAAAATACAGGGAACCCACCACAAGTTGCAATGTTCAGGTGTATAATGTCAGGATCCCTGGCTAGTGAGTTTTCAAGAGTTGCCTAATGGCTTCTTGAAGCTGAGCCAAGAAATGGGCTTCGCATGCGCGGCACGGCCGTTTCCAACGTGCAGGTCTTGCGCGTTTGGTTGAAGCCCAGAATGTTCCCAGCGTCTGAAGCAAAACACACACGCATGCGAATGTACTTTCCCATGTTCCAGGGACAGCTTTCCCGGGGAGGCAATTTCGCTTCCGCTGCCGAAGGCAAGCGGGAGCAAGCGTTCGCGTCACTTATCGCTCTCCCACACATCTACTGTGCCAATCCCATGGGGTTGCTCGGGCGTTCCCAATGCGCTGAAGTTGGAGGTTGCTTTTTCATTGAGCTGGCTTCCGTACACATGTTTGTGACATATGCGTTTGTGTTTGATCCAAACTATAGGCCTTGTGGAAGAAGTTTGCTGCACTGCAAGCAGCTCAATCTACAACTCTCAGCTTCCGGCATTCCTGCAGGCCGGATCGATATGCCGGTCCTTTGCGTTCGATAGGCCCGGGTTTCATAGTGAGCCTTCGTGGGTTTATCCAAGGTCAGACTGCAGGTTTCGAGACTATCTTTCATTTGCTTAAGAATTTGTTGTTTTCCCTTGTTGGTTTTAAGGGGAATCTATCACTACTTGAAATATTGTCATTTTTTTCCCGGGGGGCTTCAGCAAATGGAAGTCATGCTGTTTGGGCAGACCATTTTGAGTGACAAAAAGAGTAGTTGTTCTTCAGCAAGCAAAGGTCATGTGTCCCTTTGCAGTCAAACCCCCATTTGCAGACCTGCGGCACTGCAGGTGACGTTTCATAGAGCCGTCTTGCAAAGATCTTGTCTCGGCAGTGAGTTGTCGCCTCCGGACAAAAAGAAGCCGGCCGACACATGTAAGCTTGCAGTGACAGGCACGGCCATGGACCCTCGCCACAAAACCTGGATCAAGAGCTTCCTTTTGGGTCCATTAAAGAAAACATTTGGAGGGTTCTCAAAGTTTATAGGAGGGGTATTTATTTTAGTTGTTTGTTCAATAAAAGATCATCCAAAAAAAAAAAAAAAACGTCAGGAAAAAAAGGATCCCACAATAAATCCGCGCCCAAGTTTATGTTGGGCCAGTTGCCTTTCAATCCACCATTCAGTGGAGAATGTTTTTTGGCGGTCACTTTGGACTTGGGTGTTTTCTATTCGCCATCCCGTTCCTTCAATCTATCCAACGCAAGCAATCGGACAACAACTCAATGTGCAGGTCTTGTCAATGACAAACTCCGGGTCATTTGCAGGGTCATGGTTGTTGCGACACAGTTTTCCAATTTTTACGTATTGCGGTTTAGTGGTTGAAATCCAACCCACTGAACTGCTAAAAATTGAGAGTGTTTGCTCCCCTTCCAACGTCAACCAAGGGGTGTTGATCCCAGTTATAGGGTTCCATCCCAACTGCGCCATCGGCTTGGCCAATTTTTAGCCAGCTGGCCGCGCAAAATGTCTCCCAGGTCGTGATTCAATTGAGGTGCTGTCTCACTGGCTGTGTTCCTTTTGGTGGAAGACCCACCAGGGTTCCAAGAGCAGTCCCAAGTCCGATCCGGGTGTCATTTTCTCAGGAAATCCCTACATCATTTGGAGGATTCAACGGTCGCTTCTTGACTCTTGTCATCGCCAGCATGATTCTCTACAAGGTCACGTACAAGTTGGTCCAGAAACAGTCGGATTTTGTAGTTGGGTACACCCAAAAACTAGAGGGATTTCTACAAGTTGGTCAAATAGAACCATTGCCGGTTTCTTGTGTTTTCCTGTGGATTTTTGTCCCTTGCCTTCTAAGTCCTTGCCGGAGCCACGTCTTTTTGCCAGCGTTCGAAGCCCGCAATCCGCAAGTTGAGCCGCGAGATGGCGGCCCCGGACCCCAGCACGTCGGACTTCGTGAAGGTGGGCTTCGCCGCTTGGATAGGCGTCCTCTTTGGTAGAAGAATAGATGGCCACCTAGTTTGTTTTTTTAGCCATCTGGTAGAGTAGATGGCCACCTTCTTGTGGTAGAATAGTGGTTTACCTGGTAGTTTAATCACCAGAAAAAAACAACTATTTCCCCCCAGAAGGACTCCTATGTTTGAAGTCTCACTCGATTTGATCGGAAACGGCCTCCAGTTGGACCTGGGAAAATGGGTGGGGGTGGCTTTGTTGTTGTATTGCTTTTTAAACCCGCCATAGTATAGTTTGTTTTTTTTTGGGGGGGGGTCCCCTATTTTGAGACATGCACAAATGGTTGTGAGTTTCAAGAAGGATTACCCTCCCGGGCTGCCATCCCCATGATGTGCACCTGAGGGTTCCCTGTAAAAACTCATACCCACATGGCTTTTCTGTTAATATCACAAAAGGCCCAAACAACCCTTCTGCTGGGAAGAGCAACCCAGAGAGGTGTAAGTTTGAGTCTATACTCACTTCCTGAGTTGAGGGACTTTGGTCTTTTTGGAAAGACCATTTTAGTGGTAAATAAAAAGTTCAGATTTTTTGTTGGCCAGTCAACTTGGGAAGTGAGTATATATATATATATGTTAGTTTTAGGTTGTTCTTCATCCAAAACGGAGGTGCCCGGAAGGAATGGTCAAGGAGAGCCTTTTCTCATAGGGCCGTTTCGTCAGCTAAGGACAGGTGGAACGAACGCCTGTGACTTTCTGCCTTGGGTAAATCCAGAAACTTCGTCACGACTGCCCTGCTTCATGAGGATTCCTGAACCCAGAAGTGGACTTTATCCAAAACAAGGGTTCCGAGAGGGAAGTAATTGGGATTCCGTAAGATGGTTGAGGCTTCCCCTTGAATCCAAGAAACTAGGAACTTCTTTATCCAAAACAAGGATGCCTTCTTTTGTTTGCGGCTCCCCCTTGAATCCAAGGACAAGGTGAACTTCTTTGTCATGTTCCCCACCTTCACGGCTGCCTTCACCATCCCCGGGATTTTGGGCGGGGTGGCCGCCTTCTACCACAAGAGCTCTGCCGTGCAGAAGGTGGAACTGGTGGCAGACTACAGCCTGGGCCCTTTGCACCATAGACCCAAAACTCGATGGGTGCTGGTTCATACAGACCAGCATCCTCCAAGGTTGTTGTTGGAACACATTTTACAATTTTGCTTGTTGTGGTTGGGATTGAAATCCAACCACTTAACTGCTAAAGTTTGAGAGTTTTTGCTCCCCGTCCAACGTCAACCAAGCCAAGGGCTCTTGTTTGAGCCATTTGGGGTAGCAATTGACAACCATTGGAGGGTGCTGCAACGTGTTATTTGAGGGTTATTCTTTTCGCCTTGGTTTCATGGGAAAAAGGAGCACCCTCATTTGTGCGGGCTCCCCGAATTCAAGACAAACCGAGAAGGGGTTGTCCCCTTTCCATACACAGGGATGCTTTTGTGTGTGTTTTTATGAGTATCGTGGCTATCATGTTCGGGGTTTTAAAAGGGGATAAGAATGGAGGACCATGTTTGGGGAGCCCTGTTTCGGTTGGTTTTGAAGACGCTGAATTCTCACTCCCCCGAGCTCCTGGACTTTGAGGTTTTTGGGGTTGGACCATTTTAATTAATGGCAAATGCGAAGTTTGGGCTTGTTTAGGAGAGTGTTTGTTCAAAGAGGGTTCCCCTTTTTTGTTAGGGAATTCAACTCCGGACTGAGTGTTTGTTCAAACAGGGTTCCCCTTTTTGGCAAGGGAGAGCGCCCCTTTAGAGTCAACTTGCTCCGGGAAATGGGGGGCAAAACGAGGGTTGCTCAAAGCCTGAAGATGACCGAATCACAAGAGACTAACATGGGGCAACTTCTTGCGTGTTGGGAACGAAGGCGGAGGCAGCCCTTGCCAGAAGTTCGCTATTTGGGGAAGCATTGTGAATGGACAAGATTTCCGGGGTGTAAATGAAACCCTAGTTGGTTGTACCATATATTTTGCAATTTTATCAATGTTCAGGGCAATGTGACCGAATGTGGCAGGTTTCGGAACCAGTTGTATTGGACCAAGCGGATGCTGTAGCTATTTGTCATCCAGGAAGCACCTCCAAGCCAGATGCATTAGGCAATGAAATCCATCCTGTAGACCGCATGCTTGATGCGTTTAGCTTGGAGTGAACTGGGTAACAACAATCGGTTTGAAACAGTAGGCAAAGGGGGTGACGAAAGGAAGAGTTCACCATGTGACAAGACCCACAACGTGACCAACCAGCTTGGTGCGCGACCAACCGGCTTGAATGGAACACACAAAAAAGATCAAGCAGGGGTTCTGCCTAAGCCAATTGGTCAAATTTAGGCTGCATCTCAGTAACCAGTGCCTGTGGAGTTTGTCCATGACCTGTCCGTGTTCGGTTTCAAGCTTCTCTGCGCATGAAATAGTTCGGTTTAGCGGTTGAAGCAACTCGAGGAAGGCCCCAGCAGTTCCTCCTGAGATGCCCACAATACTTCACGATGCCATCAAGCCCACAGCCCAATGAACTGGCATTTTTCAGGCTCTCATGTGGGTGTGGGTCAAACATAGGTTGATCCAGGAACCCAACATGCAACCCAAATGGAAACATGGAATCAAACTTGCGGTCCATGTCCTGGTGGTTTAAGATTGACACACCCCATATGAGGTACGTGGCCATGTTCCTGGTGCGGATAATCTTCTCCTTCATCCAGTCCAATCTCGCGGATGCGCGGCGCAACACCGGGATCAACGTCCCAGATCAGCATGCCTATAAGGCGAGGAAGGGGGTAAAGAACAAAGACTGTTGACCCGGTCCCCACAAAACCAAGAGACACTGAATGGAGCCAGACCCGAAATCCATGAAGCGCTGCCGCCGGCGTTTTCTTTCTGGTGAGTTTTTCTGGGGCCAAGTTTTGTTGTGGCCAAGTTCCTGCCGAGCGGATATTTTGCCGGTTTGTATCTTTGGAACTGCGGGCTCATGTCAAGCTGTGCTGAGCAGAAATGCCTTCTGAAGTATGGCGCATGCATGTTAGCACACGATGGGTCTTCATGAGCTTCTGAAGAATTGCTGCAGCTGTTGTGGGCAAGAATGCAGAAAGGTTCTGATCGGCCCATCCGAACATGACGTGCTTGAAACGCCACCTTTTCTGCCAGCCCACCTCTTGTTTTGCACCCCTCCGTCGGCGGATTGTTGTCACGGACTCCAACGGTTTTATGAGCATATGGCGTCGGCGGAATTTTGTGGATTTTCCGCAGACCTTTCTTAGGTGGTGATGCCCCTTACACAAGAAAAAATCCAGGGAACATCTCAAGCACCCCCTGTCCCTCCGCACAGAAACCCCCGCTCTTACCATACTAGAAGCCTGTAGTGTGTGGGGCCGCTTTGCTTGACGCGTTCCTTTTCGTGAGAATCCCATCAGACCCCTGCCGCAGTTTGTTTTTGTTGCGCGCAGAAAACACAGGCGGAGCTTGTGCAGAAGCGTCAGAGCCCAGTTTTTGTTTGATTTGGAAAGGGTGTAAAATACCAGGTGGCGATTTTGCCCCATGTGAGCCAAAATCAAAAAGCCCGGTAGATACAGGTAAGGGACAATCCCGACCATAAGTAGGTGCGGCCGTCGTTTAAGTCTTTTTAATACCAGGCTTTGATTGTGACTCATGTTCTCGCCTTGAATCAACCAGCACCTCTGCTTCGAAGGAAATGAGATAAGCACGCTGGTTTGGGATCCCTTGTCAGGGTAGATGCCTTTGCGGGGGGGGGGGGGGACTCTCGTCAACATGGAAACCAAGAACTCTGGATTTGTTTGTGGGCTCCATGCCAGGGATTTGGGCCGATCCCCTGTTAGCCAAAGAAAAAGCGGGCAACAAGCACCTGTACTTGTGTGTTCGTTGCCACGCTAGTACGTCCTTGGCAACCTAGGAGTATTCTAGGTCCCCGTAAGTATGCTTTACCTTAAAGAAACAAAACCCAAGTGGCTATCCACCAACTTGAAGCAACAGGTTCCCTTAAGTTGGCTTTACCTTAGGGCCGAGGAACAAAACCCAAGTGGCCAAACGAGCTCCGTCCTGAAACCGCCCGTCAGGTAGTGACGGGCTCGGCGGCGGGATCCCTGGTGCTCATGGACGACGAGGGCGCCTTCGGGAGGTTCAACCGCGCCCAGCGAGGGGTACAGAACGTTTGGGAGAATGTGTTCCCTTTGTCCATCGAGCTCCTGGCCTGGAATTCCGAAGATGTCAAATTTTCTGACCTTTTCCCCCTTGTTGGGTGAATTCCCTGAATTGTATTTTCTCCCTTGTTGGGTGAATTCCCTGAATTGTAGTTTCTCCCTTGTTGGGTGAATCCCTGAATTGTGTATTCTCCCTTGTTGGGTGATTTCCCTGAATTGTAGTTTCTCCCTTGTTGGGTGAATTCCCTGAATTGTAGTTTCTCCCTTGTTGGGTGATTCCCAGAATTGTAGTTTCTCCCTTGTTGGGTGAACTCCCTGAATTGTATTTTCTTCCTTGTTGGGTGATTCCCTGAATTGTAGTTTCTCCCTTGTTGGGTGAATTCCCTGAATTGTAGTTTCTCCCTTGTTGGGTGATTCCCTGAATTGTAGTTTCTCCCTTGTTGGGTGAATTCCCTCAATTGTATTTTCTCCCTTGTTGGGTGAATTCCCCGAATTTCTCACGCAGGTATGATGGAGACTTGGGGGTCGATTTGGGGGGAAAAGGTTATGATGGAGACTTGAGGGTCGATTTTTGTTGGGAAAAAAGAGATTATGATGGAGACTTGGGGTCTGTTGTGCAACCGCCTTCATTTGGTGAATTGGTGTCTTAGATACTCTCCAAGTGTCCATGGCACGAAAGTGATGGAGGTTGGGGTTCCGGTGATTTGTGGTGACTCACAACCTTTTGGACCCCGAAAAGAGGTAGTCTCTGATGTCAGGGGTCGGACTTCATCCCAAACAAGCAAAGTGTTGAAACTTCGATATCAGAGGTTGCTTCCGATAAAAGGGGGAGGTTGGGGTTGCTTCACTCACCGTACGGTTCTTCTGGTGGTGGGTTTGGCCGGTTTCCCCTGGTGTGTTTCCTGGTGTGTCCCCTGTCCCGCACCCTGGGTGTGTTTCCGTGACAAACAGGTCTGAATTGCTATCTATCTTTTTTTTGCGGTACTGGGTTTTAGGGATTGAATTTGCAACATACAGGTTGTCCATGTGCTCCCGGGTGGTTGGGCCTTCTGTCGCAAGCTTGTGGTGGGTTTCAGATTTCCCCTTGGTGGAAGGTTGCTCTTTGATGGTCTTTGCTGTTTCCTTAAAGGGTTCTTCTGGGGCTTTCCCAGAATTCAAACATCTTCTCGCTCGCTACCCTGGTCACTCGTGTCTCATCACTAAACGGTCTACGAAACCAAGAATCGAAGGGGCCTATCCGCTCGCGGAACGATTGTTTCGAGGCGCTCGACGGACAAAGCGCACTGACCCAAAGCATCAATCCACCCCTAAAGCGACACAACCGCATTGGTTGTGCCTTCATGGATTCTAACACATGGGTACTAGGATGCTACACACATTGTCCCCTTGGTGCAAACTGGAGCAAGTTTTTTGGAACCCGTTCAAAGAAACAACTTGTTCTCCGCTAGATGGACAAAGGGTACCACCCCAGGGTCACATGAGGTTTGGCCAAAGGGGCATTGTGACCGAACCTCATGTAACCAATCCTGCAAAACCTTACGCATACTTGATCATCATCCATTCCCAACTGGCGCGCGGTGGATTTGTGTTGTTTATCCAGCACAACCAACCATAGGCGGGGTGCCCCCAAACCGACCCCAAGTCTCCATCATCCCCCCTCCTTTGGCCCCCACCCCCCCCCCACCCCCACCCCCCACCCCTCCCACCACCCCACCCCCACCCCCACCCACCCCCCCCCCACCCACCCCCACCCACCGCCCCCCCACCGCCCCCCCACCCACCCCCACCCCCCACCCACCCCACCCACCCACCCACCCCACCCCACCCCACCCACCCCACCCCCCCTCAGGGTGGTGCTCACCGGCCTCGTCTTCCCCTGGACGGTCGCCGGCCTGCTGTGCCTCTTCGCGCTGCTGCGCGCCAAGGCCTCCATCAGCTACGCCGAGAAGGGCCGGATGGCCCGGATCTCCGGCGCCCCGGCGGAAGAAACACAAAAACCGCCGGGGGCGGGGGGGGGGGGGGGGGGGGGCGGGGGGGGCGCGGTTGGTTTTTGTGTGTTTCTTTGCCTCGTTTTTGGTTGGCGTGAAAAGGGAAACAAAGGAACAACCATCAGTTTGTCGGGTTCCTGTTTTGTTGAGGGTAACCTGGTTTAAAGGAAAAATCCGCTGCTTTTTGGGCGGGGGCTCTGTCTCTCTCCTTTTGAGGGTATTTGTATGCTATTAGTTGGATCTATGGACTTTCTCTTTTTGGGAAACAGTGGAATTCTACATTGGACCCACAAAAAGTTAAGTTTTTTCTCGCAGAGGGCTCAACAGCAAACCAAGATTTGGTTGGTTTCAAAGGGAAACCAAAAGGAAATCCTTCTTCTTCTTTTTTTGGGGGGGGTCACCGAAAGAAGACTCACTCAGATCGAATGCGATCAACGCGGAGTTCTGGGGAGATGCTTTGTGGTTTGGGTGTCCCATCTGCCCTCTACCAGAACCCGTTTTGCGGGTACTCGTTTTCAGGGTGCTGGTTTCAAGGTTGGTTTGAAGGGAAATCAAAAGGAACACCATTTGACGCTCCCCCCCCGCCATTTTGACACGAACCCAAGTGGGTAGCTTTCCTCTTGTTCCTTTGAAACCACCAAAAGATGTACCCTTCAAAAAAGACGCACCCAACTTGATGAAACCTGCTGTGGACGTACAAAATCCACTTCGCACCAGTTGTTTGGTGGCTATATCTATCAATGTCCAAATCGCCCCAACCTGTCCTCAGGCAAAGTTGTACACGGGTTCAAATGGCACTGGTCTATCTTTTGAGTGCCCTTTTTAAAGTGCTACTGATCTTTCATGAGTGCAGTCCCAGTCTGTTCCCGGTTACATACAACCACAAGGGTGACATAACCCTAAATGAGTGGAAACCATTTTGGAGAAGTCCAATTTGTCCCCAGCTCTTAATGAGTGGACACCATTTTGGAGAGGTCTTAAGATATCCAACTCATGAGCTTGGTGACCCATCGATGGGTGCCAAACAACTTTTCTCTGACACAAGCACCGAACTGCCCTCACTCGAGCCGAGGCAATATGGCCTCCAACATCTGCGGCGCCAGCATCGCAGGCAACAGGTTTCGGCGGTTTGAGTTGTGGGCCACTTCAACTCCTTGACTCTCTCTGTTTGCGAGTCGCTCGCTGTAAATTCAACCAACGGGGGAAGATTATGAAGAGGGTTGTCCGCACTTCTGTGATACAAGGGAATCTCTCCCTTTGTATTGGGGGGTTGGTCGTTGGGAAGCCCTGTCTCTGAAGAGGGTTGTGGGATCAAGGGATTTGTCCAACCACTTCTGCGATATTTGTATGGGGGTTCGTCTTTGGGAAGCCCTTTTTGTTGGATCGCAGAAGAGTTGTCATTTCCCACAGCCCTGATTATGAATGTCTCCCCCGAAAAATTATAAGAGGAGTGGATGTTGTTTCCTTTCCTTTGAACAGGGGTGTGGGATCAAGGGATGTATCCAACCACTTCTGTGATATATGTAGGGGGATGTGCTTTTTCAGTTCTCGCTCGTCACGTACGACCAAGCATCGACAGCTTGTTTTTGCAATTGTACAGGGCCAGGCGACCAGGCATACCCCAAACAAGCGCACATAATAATATGAATGTGTGTATTTATATATATGAATATTTATAGACATGTACACACATCAACAAAGAAGTGGGTTCCCCAACATGACAATATGAACCAATGTGGATCATTGTGCTTTTAAGACCTGGAATTCAAGAATTGGACTTCCGAGCATAGGCCTGGCAATCTTTCCCGGCAGGATGGGGAGTAGAATGTTCCTCACTTCCAGTCTCTGGACTTTAACTCTAAGATGGTTCCACCACCCCCAAACCACTACCCCCGCGGGTTTAATTGGGGTATACACCCACTATATAAAGGGTACTTTAAATATAAACAAAACAAACAAAAAAGCAATATTCTTCGGGGGTGGTGGTTTGGGGGTAGTGGAAAAATAAATGTTACACTCTTGGCAAAGGTGTGGACCCGATCTACTCGCTTGAGAGTGTGGCAGGCCTCACGCTCGCCATTGGCGTCTATGCCACTCACCTGGAGCTGGCCAAATGAGCAGCGCTTGGCTGACCCGGCGGTTTCGATGTCCCATTTGTTTGTTGGAGCCACGAGGCTTTGAGCCGAAAATTCTGGTTCTTGGATCCCCAGCTTCCGTTTGTTGACCCAGGAGGCAAAGGGCAAGGGCTCCCAGCAAAGAGGTGGAAGGGTTGAGAGTTGGGTGCCAACTTGCCCAGAACTGCTACTTATATGTGTTGTTTTCTCCCAGGAGACTTAAGCAAATTGAGGGAAACCAATAGAGGATGCATTTTTGTTTGCCAGACCCCAAAGGTGAAAAACCCGCAACCCGCTTCGATTTGGCCTCCCAAATCGGGCCCGCGTTCCGTTCGCCTCGCCGACCAAAGGATGTCACATCGCTTAGCCAAAATGTCCGAGCCTCACAGCATCAACATTGAGGGTCATACCGATGGGCAAACTCCAGTTCGCACCACATAGGTGGTTTATCCTATTCACGAGATCCATTCATGGTGCGAAGCAGAAATTGTCCATTGCCAGGCGCCAGGGCTCTGGCCCGGTATGTTGTGGGAAGGAGAGGTTTGCTCCTGCGGCATTGGTATCAAAGGCGTGGTTGGCAATTCCGGCATCCCTACATGACAATGCAACACAGACAGGGCACAAGGGCCCTGTTTAGCCTGAGTTGGCAGCGGCCACAGCCCCTTGTAAGGACAATTGCTCATTAGTCAGTTATTTTTGCCAAAGAAATCCCTCAAACACCAGATACAGAGAGCCCGGAAGTGGGCAGCCAGCCTTGCTTAGGAAAGGCGCTTGATGCGAATATGCCTGCTGTCAAGCTCAGCGAAGAGCAAGATATGGCACAAGATTGCAGATTGGAACATCACACTTCATCTTTTGGCTTTCCCATTTCCACATCGCATTCTAGAGTATTCTAGAGGTTTCGAAACCTGAACATGCTCCGTTTCGTCCCGGGTTTCGCTGCAAAAAAAAACCCGAACAAGCTGTTCCAAGCGAGGGAGCCGGGTCTTAAGTAGATGGCACTGCAGCCATGCGCGCCCACGGCCCAGGCGACGGCCGGAAATGGATTCAAGTGTGTGTGGGTCAAAATTGAACCACCCGGGGACCACAGGTTTTGGTCCATGTTGCCACTTACCAGGGTTCCAGTTTGGGTACCTATTTTTGACCCACAGCCAAGTTGTCACGGGTCACAAAATCGCTGCATGTGTTGCGTTTTTGAGTGACGCCAAAAAAGTACGTATAAGGAAGCGGGGGAGTATTCCAGAGGGCAAAAACGCGTTGCTCATGTCACCTGCCCCACCCCAAGCACTGTAGTTATTGGCCCAGATGACGCTGTTAGGGAGAATACAAGTTTGGAGCAAGCTTCTTTGGGGTGCCCCCTCCTTTTTGTGCAGATTGGGAATTTCTTAGATTGTTTCAAGGACAACAAGACAATCGAGATCACGCAAGTCATGTCTGGACAAAAGGGGCTTGCAATGTGCAAGGGGACATAGAAGGCTCTGTAGAAGGAAATAAATTGCTTTGTAGAAGGAAATAGAAGGCGCTGTAGAAGGAAATAGAAAGCGCTGTAACATGTTGTATTAGGCTGAACCCTCCTCGGGTTTCAACCAAACACAGCGTTGCTCACCTCCTGAGAACTGGTTGAAGTTAAGCCCGACTGGGGAGCAAGCCAGTCGAACCCTTAACATGGTCGCCAGGCATCAAACATTGACCTTGGCGATTCCCAGCCATCCCCTTAGTTCAGCTTTTTAGTTGGTTTAGTGGTTGGGTTTCCCAAATTTGACCAGGTTTCCAAGTTTAACCCACACGTTATTCGCTTGTAGGGGCTCGGAAAACGGACGGCCCAGGAAGTGGAGGACCCAACCGACACCAGCGTCCCGCACTTTCCGGGGCCTCCGCTTGCTTCAGGCTCGATGGGCGCGGACAGTTGAGCCGCGCCAGACGCTCCAGGCGCGCCAGGCGCGCGTGGGGGGGGGGATTGAGAGGGTTCTCAAAGTGGCCCAAACCCCAAAATGGTTGGCTTCCTTCTGAAGAGATCTTGAGAAATCCAGAATTCCTGGAATCTTTTGACTTTTATCGGGACGGTTGTAGACTTTAACTGATTGAAATCCAGTCGCCAAATTCCAAAGTACGATTTTGCGATTTGGGGGACATTTCCCTTGGGTTCCTTGAAGCCAGCAAGAAGAAGAAGGCACGATGTGTCCAACCTCAAAGGGGCGGTTTGGAAAGCTTAGTTGACAGGTGCGTTTCCGGTGGACGTTTTAAGGTTGCACACATAGGGATCCCTCAGACAGGGTGGGTGTTTATGACTGGGAATATCCATACCTCAGGGAAGCGATTTCGGCAAAAAGGTTTTCTTTGGTGTATGTAACAGGCCCTTCTTGTAGTGATTTGAACCACGGACAACATTACCAGGGTATCGGTTTCCTTCTCCCCTTTCGGTTTGTCGTGGCAATGTTGCATGCGCCGCGATAACTCAAGCAAATCCGGGCCTGCTGGCCTGGCTTTTGATGTAGCCTTAGCCCTTATTGTGGTTTGGTGGTTGAAATCCAACCACTTAACTGCTGAAATTGTTGTTTTTGCTCTCCTTCCAACGTCAACCAATAATACATTGTTTTCATACTGGTTGTGTTGGGCTTTTCTATCCCACAAAGAGGGTGCAACCAACCTGGCTCAGGCGCCTTTTGAGTGCTTTTATGGATTCTTTTCACGGGGGGGGGAATCAAGAAGTTCCAACCCGCTGTCGGATGCTTTGTCGGGGCTGCAAAATAATATTTGTGAGGAAGACAGTTCCACTCAGGTAACAAGTGCCCTGACGTCAAGTGCGAGCACGGCCAATGAGAAGGCATTTTATTTGACCCTCAACCTGGCCACTTTCGACATTTCACAAGTTCACAGGGAAGCTTCTGTCTGCAGTTTTGATCTCACCCCTATGACTGAAAGCACAATGTCGAACTTGGGTAGCAATCCTTTGCAAGACTTCGATGCTTTGTGGACTCAGCCCCAAAGCGAGCCAAGTGGGTGTTGTGGACCCAAGAGGGACATCTTCAATGCACTGTCGGTGAATTGCAGTTGGTTCACGGCTTGTGGCCTTCAGTGATCGCCTGGGTGCAGACCGAGTATTATCAGCCTTCCCGGAGCAGTAAACCTGATGGAGTATTTGGGGTTCCCCTGTAAAGTGAAGGGTTCCCTCGAAGGAACTCGGCCTGAGAATAGTCGATGCTTTCCTTGCTTTCCTGGGTTCCAAAATTTGACAAGTCAGACGAAGCTGACGGGGCAAACAGTTTTGCCTTAAATCCGGGAAGGAATCCCAGAAGCTGGGAGTCTCAGCCCAGAGGAACAGAATCCTCTTCTTTTGTTGGGTGGTGGTGATTTTTGGAGGGTTTATTTTTTTGGTGGTGTCATAGGACCAAGAGGAAAAAGGTCCCCTCTAGGGTACATGTCTTATTCTCATTCGGTGTGCGTGTGCTGCTGTCCCAATTCGAGCCAGGCGCGGCCGGAGCCGGAGCCGGCGCTGGCGCTTGGCCGCGGAAGCCCGGCGGCCACCTTGGCGCAGGCGAGCGAAGCGAGCGAAACGAGCCTTGCCTGTTGGTCTCAGAAACGGAGAACGAGGCACCGAAAAACCCGGGCAGAAAAAAGACTCACCGTTCAAGCGATCGTTCGACAGGGCTCCTTAAAAAAGATCCCCATTTTGCAACCATGGGAAACGTGTTGCTTTTTCAACACCAAAATAAAGTTGGAAGCCGCCATTTACAAGTTGCAATGTTCAGGTGTTTCTACTCTCAGGATCCCTGTTAGATTGTTGGTTTGGAGCGAGCCCTGTGGTGTGGACTCCTTTCACGAAAAAGAAAAAAAGAAGCGGCAAGGTGCCCAGAGATAGCCGGTGTCCGTTTTGAGTGTTTGGGGGAACACAAAAAACTGAGGGTCCGCCGAATTTGACACATAGACACATACCCAAATGTAGATACTTTCAAGGAACCCTTAGTTGGTGGTTTGGATTGGTGGGTTGGATTTGGATTTTAACCCCTGCCCTTTGTAGAGGCTAGATGGGAAGCCACCGCGGAACACCAGGCAAACCACCAATTAGAGGGAACCTGACCCTGGTGGTGCTCTTACTTCTTTTTGTTAAAGTGGTTCCCCTTCCAAAAATTACCCTCCCTACCACTAACAAAGCACCTGGCAGAGGGGCCCTCGGAGAGGATGCGTTTTTTAAGGCATCCTTCCACGGGTGCTATGCTTGTGGGAGGAAGGGGAAACAACGAGCGCCGATCTGTTTTTTTTTTTTTCCATGGCCACTTCTAGACTTCTAGCATCGTGCGCGAGAAGGCGAACATAGTGACGGGAATGGGTGGACAGTGTCAAGTAAGCCTTTTCAGCCTTTGTATGTTTGTCTGAACTTGTTGAACCCCAACGTGGGCGGGATGGGGTAGAACGAGCTTAGGGAGATTCATACCAAACCTCCCTAAAAGGAGGACTCCCCTTCCGGGGTTTCATGATGGGGCGTGATGAGTGTCCGGACTCCCTTCTAGGGACCCCGAGTTGTTGAAAAGGCGTGTGATCAGTTGTCAGAATAGGGGAACAAGCCAAGAAGCAGCCAAGCAAGCCAAACACCCACCTAGCAAGCCACATATCCGTATTAAGAGGGCCTCGAGAGGGCTTTTTGGATGGCACCTGTTTTTGTGGTGGTTCCAAAGGCAAACCAAAAAGAACCACCGCTTTAGGAATGTAATCCGACTCACGTGCACCAAGGGGCCCGAAAGGAAAAGCCTTTAGACCCTGACTGCAAGGACTCCAAAAGGCTAAAAGGTCGGATGATTCAGAGTCAATCCATCCTTGTGTCCCACGGATCACTGATTAGGATTGGTGAATTCCCACCATTTTGCAAGACCCAGCGTCAAAGTTTTCCTTTGCAAGACCCAGCCAGAGGCTGCCATCCTTAGCGCGCTGTGCAGGACTTCCGAAGAAAACACTTAGGGCCATCAACTGGTCCTTCTCAATTGGTCCAACTGAGCGGTGTTTTTTTAGCCGCAAGCTAATTCAGTGGGGAGAGGGACATTATGATTGAAAATGTGCGCCGTGCCACAGGCGCGGAAGCATGCGGAAGGCTCGCGGAAGGGATGTATTCGCGGAAGGTTTGCGGAAGCTTTGTGGCTGATATACAACTAAATGTTTCAGTGCGTGCATGGAAAAGCTCGGAGAAACGATTCCAGTAGAAGAAAAGTGTTGCTGCGTACAAGAAACGCAACACTTACCCGAAGACAGATGCCAACAGCAAGCCAAGAAGGCCAAAACAGCCGGCGTATTTCGCGGAAGGTTTGCGGATTCGCGGAAGCTCCGCAGAAGGGCCCCGTGTTTGCAGGCAAGTGGCCACGTAGCATGGGTAGCCCAACGAAGCCCAAGCCTATGCCTCACTTAAAATGACTTTCATTTCTGCGCTGCTCGCGGAAGCAAATCTTGTAAATGCCCCGCGGAAGGTTTGCGGAAGCAAACAATGAAACACATGTGCCTCGCGGAAGGGACCTCTTGGCCCGCGGCAAGGATGCGGAAGGGTCCGCGGAAGCTTGAATAGTGTCCAAGCAAGTTTGTAGGGAATAAAAACCAACGCTCAACTGGAAGTTGCACTTTGGGGTCAAAGCTACTTTGTGCGACCCTTTGTTTTCCCTTGGGCTGTCCTACCGGGGGACGGTATGTCAGCGTGCTCTTCTGATCAGACTAGGAAGGAGCGAGACCCAAGCGCGGCGACTTTTTGGATTGCCAGTAGTGTGGAGGCTAACTTTGATGTCAATTGGATTGGCGGACCCAGTTCTGTGCCACGGAAAAAAGAACGAATACTTTACAGAGGTGCATTTTGCTTGGTTGTTAGGACTTTGACTTTTTGCCAACCAATGGGTTTTCCATTGAACCACTAAAAGTTAAACTTTTAGCAGGGGAGCAGAAAGCAACCGAGTTTACTTGGGGTAGGGATGGTTATCCACCCCACAGCAATTTTGGATGGCCATGGTATGGATTCTTTGACCATTGGCCGACAGAATGAGCTTTGACCAGGAGTTGTTTCCTCATGCTTAGCGACCTCAACCGGCCGACCAACCTTATTTGGCCTCATTTGGCCTTGTTTCTCCCGCATAAGGCTTCTTATTCTTGGGGATGTGAATGGAATTCGAGAAGACACCAAGATAACTCAGCCATTTTTGGGGATCCCTATGGATCCCCAGTTCGAGAACCCACCTGGCTGTGAGTCAAAATGAGGTACCCAAAATGGCTTGCCCTGGTAAATGGAACCATGGACTAAAATCTGCAGTCCAATTCCTGGTTATTTAATATTGACCCACACCCACCTCTTAAAGGCGTGTTACAATTCTCAGTTGTGTCAAAGCTCCATGAAGGAGACGCATGGCCCCTGCGCGGCACAGCAGTCGTGCAGAAGGCGCGGAGTGGTTTTGTTGGTTGACCAATTGTAGGCGACCCTTAAATCAGGGAAACCAACTAGCAGGGATACAGGGAACGGTATGGGATACGGTTGAGGATTCCCCCGTTTGATGCACCTTGACTAAGTTTATGGGAAGTTTCGCCAAGGGAATCCCCCCATATCCCCGCTCCCTCCGTATCCCGCTTGTTCGTTTGTCGAACTAAAGTGGTCAAAACGAAACCACCAGGAATTGGACCGCAGGTTTTAGTTTTTTCGGTTCCATCTACCAGGGCAAGCCTTCAAGCCATTTTGGGGATACCGATTTTTGAAGCCACAGCCATGGAGTGGCGCGAAAGAGAGTGGCGCCTTCGGGAGATGAGTGGTGAATGACTCGGCTCACAGATTTTCCCTTTCCCTTTCTTTTACCAAGGCACAGAGTGGTTGTAGGTTGAACGTAGATGAGTCGATGATTCTGGGCAGCTTCCTTTCGGGAGCCCTGTGTTGAGTGCGGAATAGAATTTGCAGAAACTATGAAAAGCTCACCTGGAGGGGGTACAACGAGGCCCTTTGACGAAGGTCCCCTAAGGGTGATTCCTTAATTTGAGAGCAATCAACACCAGGGCAAGCTAAGGATAGCTACAGTCCCCTTGCCCGAAATAGGTGCGGGTGTCCGCCCTTTGTTTTGTGCATTGGATATGGTGTTGGTTGTGCTTTAACTTGTTGCGTTGGATATGGTGTTGGTTGTGCTTGACTTTTTGTTGCATTGGATATGGTGTTGGTTGTGATTTGGTGAATTAATTCTTCTACTTCCAGAATGGCATGGAGAACATGTTTGTGTTTCAACTACCAGAGCCTGCCACCCCTTTTTTGGGCGGCTTGTCCCAACCTTCTTGGCCTGGGATCGGAGCAGTCACAGAACCAGCCCGCGAGCTTTGGTTGGAGAGAGGCATCAAGCGACTTGACCTGTGGAATCCGATTCAGTGGGAGGTTCTGAGTTTCTTGCGAGGCGGACCATCATCAGCACTCTCGGGTGTTCAAATCACCCTTTTGCCGATCCAAATGCGGGTTACATTTGGTTGCCCTTGGCTTCCATGTGTCATTCCGCCGCTTGCCTTTTGGATTCCTGGTGACATCTGCAAGCATGAATGCCACCTGAAAGGGTTTGTGGTTTATTGGTGATGTTTGCCTTTCTTGCAAATACCCTTGTCGGCTTATTTTGTTTGCTGAAACCGCAAGGGTCACCCCCGCTGGTTTGGGGTTCCTTGGTTTGTCATGTTTTATATTCGCTTCTTGGGTTGTTTGTGTTTCTTTGTCTTTTTGTAGGGTTTTATATCCCCATACAACATCTGCAGCCATATACATATAGGTATACATACTTCCATTTGGTTAAGAATATGTTATTTTCCCCTGTTGGTTTTAAAGGGAATCAATTTCACTACTGGAAATATGTTTAGCAAAATAATAAAAACAAATGCCAGGGAACTAAAGCAAATGGAGGTAGAATACGGCCATGGGTCAAAAGCCCGGTTAGCCCCCAGTGAACATCCCAATCCCAACTAAAATAGGCTCTAAAGTGGGTGGTGAAATCACCTACCAACCAAAATGGGATCCCAAAACGGTTTTAACAACCACAGCCATGGGCCATATGGGTGTGGTTGTCAATCTTCGGTTTTGATTTGTATTTTGTTGCAGAGGTCGGGGAACCAGTGGCACGGACTCCAATCGGTCGACCGTGGCCAGTGGTTTGGCCTGACACCGTGGGCGGCTACGCGGTGCGGCCGGTGCTGGCGTCCTTGCCGGGCTTGGGTCGGGGAGCTCAGCTCGGCTCGCCACGCTCGGTTTATCATGGTAAGCCCTGAATAAGGCCTTAGATAGGGCCGGCTTAATACGTGCTTATTTGGGCTCCTTCCCCCTCCCCTCTTTCCCCCTAGCCCCATGATTTTAGGTGGGTGCGTCTTTGTTTTGAGGGTGCTGTTTCCACCTTGGGCGAAACAAATTAAAGGGAAGCCAAAAAGAAAACCAACCATGTTCGGGGGTCCGCCTGTTTTGAGACTGTTGAGTTTTGTTGAGCATAGATGGGTTGCGCTGGTTTCAGTTTGGTTCCAATACCAGTCTTCCATTTGCAGTGGTTTGAGCGCTTCCATGGAATTGATGGAGTCTAGCATGTTAATTTTCTAGCATGTGGATGAAAACTATATTTTGCTGGTTTCAATCATCACCTTCTGGTGCCAATTTCAAGGGTTCCTTTTCGTGGGTGGGCTCAACCTGGGTCCATTTTTCGTGGATCCCCCGTGCGACAGCAGTCTTCAACAAAGCGGCCACGCTTCGAGGGTTTCTCAAAAATGTGTTTGGGAAGGGTGCGGAATAATTCCGGACCAAAAACGTGAAGTGCCGAAACCGTGCTCGAGACTCTTTTTCTTCCGCGCGTTGTCTGTGGATAGATTGGTGTGTGGTGTCAGGCGACATTGGCGCCCTTGTGGTGGACGAGGACTGGGCCAATCGGATTGCGCCGTAGACCTGGGAATCTGGGTGTCACTGCCGCAGGAGAGGCTCCTTTCATGCATTTTGCTTGGATGTTAGGACTTTAACTTTTTGCCAACTAATGGGTTTTCCATTAAACCTCTAAAAGTTAAACTTTTAGCAGGGGAGCAGAAAGCAACCGAGGCTCTGTCTTTGTTGAGGCTACCTGTTTGGGGTTGGCTTAAAGGAAACCACCAGGAAAACCGAAGCCATTATTGGTGGTTCGGATTGGTGGTTTGGGGATTTGAAGGTAAATGTGTGAGTGTCCTTGACCACCAAACCATCAATCCCAACCTGGAGGGAACTGATTTTTGGGATCCCCTATTTTAAAACGAGACACACCCATCTTAGAAGAAACCTCCTGAATCCGACTCCATTTGAAGACAGCATCCTGGTAGAAGCGAATGAGCGTTGCCGACAGAACGCGGATGCCGACTCCATCGAGGATGTCCCAGAGTGGGCGCGAGCGCTTAGCGAGTCTTGCGGATCTGGCCGTGGGCCGTGGGGCGCGCCAAGAAACCAAACATCAACATATATCAACATTTGCATCAAATGAGGGGCTAGGAGCCCCCAAGTGTCACCAAAGTCATGCAGAAAAAAGAGGTTGTTCTTACGCACCCCGCCCTTGAAATTGCCCAGGCTGCGTGTGCTGACTGGAGGCATGAAATAATCGAAAGCTGATTGTAAGGAACCCGTGATCACGAGGCCAGTCAATCATGCAATACACAATTGGGTCACACCGTTCACAGATGGGTCCAATCGAGCCTATTAAACGCAACCATTGCTGCAGGATCAAACGGAAGATTGTGTGAACACAGCGCTACTGTAGGCTGCTTCTGGCCTCTGACAGCTACTTACGCGATGCTGACTGCTTATGGGAATTACACAGTTTCGGCTTTCGTATGTTGTGTTTTCTCCACACTGAGTGAGTTTCGAATCTTTCAAAAGCTGGCGCGTGCAAGAGCATTCGATTCTTGCTACGTCGTGTCTGGGATCCTTGGAAGACAGGTACTTGCGATGGCAGACTTTGAAGCAGACACTCGGGGCAAGGTTCTGGTGGGATAATCAACTCATTGAGTAGAGAACCCATTCAAAAATGGCGACAGTAGCGGTGACACATCAGCAGGACCCCCCGAGCCCAACAGGGGGCAGTCGCCGCTTCGTTGCTTTGCCGGGCAGCCGTGGAGACGATTTCAACGGTAGGGGCTTTGCTTTTACAATGGAATAGACAGCGAACAACAACACATGAAAATTGTGTGTTTGTTTCTGGCTAAGGAAAGGTGTAAGATCATTGTGTGTGTTTGTGTGTTTTGTTTTGTTCCGTTCAAAAACCAACACAAACAGCAACACTTGGATCAAATGGGTTGAGCCCCATGCTTGTTTAATCTCAGCCGGCTCTGAGGTACCAGCAGAGTGGCTGAGTCCGGTCATGGGAGATGACACCGTCTCCGACGTCTACGGAGTTGGGCAGCCAAGACACCAGCAGCCAAGCGCGAGACTTGCATTGCATTGCAGCCGGGCTGTTGCTCCGAACCTCAGTAACTGTCCACGGGTTGGAAACAACGGTTTTGCATGCCCTTGCTGTGGCTCAGGGACCAAGTTTCACCTTGGTAAAGGTTTTCGAGCAACCCTGTTGGTGTCCCAGGAATGGCAGAACCAAAGAGTGTGTTGCGAATGCGTGTGTTTGTGCGCTCATGTGCCTATGCTTGTGCAGACGTAGACAGCAGGCGTCCAGATTTGGTGAGCAGGGCAGCTTTCAGAGGTACTAGTTCCCTTGGATGAGTTTTTGACCAACCTGGAACCAGGAAAATCAACTGTCATGTTCAGCTGTGTGTTCCTTCTGATAGACCCCCCCTTCTGGGTTCCTTCTGTTCATTTGCGGGGGAGTATAGGCGATGATTGTTTCAGCTGTACACAAAGCCCTTTGAATGAGTGGTTTTCAATCACCCTTAAAGGTCTCATTTGACCACGGCCAGCCATGGCAGTTGCACTCACCGCAGCAAATCTGGAGGACCAATCAAAGGCGCTGAGCTACACAGGGCAGAGGAAGGCTAAACGAGGCTGATTGAGGCGAATCGAGACTAAGTATTGCCAACATGCATGCGCCAGGCAATCACGCAGAAAAGGGAGGCCTGAGGGGGGCTCTATCAAGAAACCCATAACTGTCCTTCAACATGCTGCTAGGGACCTACTGTGAAAACTGCTAGGTAAGCGGGTGGCTTCTCCCGGTATTCACATAGGGGTTTGTCCCTCTCAACTGCAGACGAATTTGCGCGGATTAAGGCCATTGGCGTGTGGCCCGCTGCCTTCGTTGCAGCCCAGGAGCGGTTTTCGCCTCGCGTCGCCGAGAGGTGAATTAGAGTGTCAACGAAACAGGTTGCGGGTTGGAAAGGCAGGGTGCCCAGTCTCCCCCTCGTTCAACGGAAGCCCATGGTTGCTACCGTGGTGCAGTGGGTTCAGGAAATAGCGGAAATGGCTTCCCACGCTGGTCGTCTTTCTGACCAGAACCCCGAGCCCAAAAAGCTCTCGCCTAGGAACTGATGCGCTTTGCCGAGTCGTCTGACGAGGCTGGGACAATCGCCAAGGGACTCTTGGGCCCGCAAAAAGGGGCGGGTGTGTTTCAGTCGAGTCCTATATTTTCCATGTTTCCGCCAAATTGGGGGCGTCTCAGCAGACTCATTGACCGCAGGTCAAATTGAAGTGAGGTTCCCTTTTGGCGGAAATATAGGAAATCCATTCTTTGTGGGAGGGCCTGGTTTTTGAGGGGAGCCGCCGTGTGGGGGCGGTACAAGAATCAAGTGTATAGGTTTTCCAGCAGCAACAAAAGTGGTCGAGTTCTGCAATGCACTTTGTTTTGGGGGGCGCTTTTAAGTTCACTCCACAACCGAAGGCAAATCAGTTGGACTTACGCCCAAACGAGTCTGTGTGTACCACTGTACACTACATGCGTTCATTGGAGATATTCCGATGCAGACGTCTGGATCTTGGCTTTGGCTGTCCCAAGAGCAAGCGGCCTGGTAGGCCTTCCCAGATAGGTTTCTTTTATGGCTGTTTGGCAACAGACCTTTGGACCTCAACTTTTTTGTTGAAACAGGTCGGATGTTCCGAATTGGACCACAAAAGTTATTCAGAGGGGTCAACGGCAACCAAGCTTTGTAGCTTTATTTGGGGGTTTCTCGTAAGATTCGTTTGTTGGGTCTCAGGCGGGAGTACGGCGATTTGCTGTGCACCTGAGCCTGAAACAAGTTTTGGAGGAAAGGTTAGTAGCACCATGTGGTATACACTGCCAAGCTGGTTATTGGCATAATGTTGATCCAGGATTAATAAACTTATTAGGGGGTGTTGCCTCCAAAAGTAATGAATCCCCACTAACAGGGGACACCCCCTATTGATCAACCAGGGGTTTACTAAACCGGGGTTAACATTAAAAGCCGTACCCGTACTTCCAAAAATCGTACCTCAACCCAGGCGTTCACTGCCACCCTTGAACTCCTGACTGTTGAATGACCCCCCCTTCAAAAATCGTGGCCCCCAAACAGGGTCAACATGCTATATTCTAAGGTTATCTAAGGTTGACTGAACACGGATGCAATCTAACTGTTGGAGTACAGGCTTCCAAGAAAAAAAGTTCCAGGTTTTTCCACCTTCCCATGGACCCCTTCTTTTCGCTCCTTAGCTCTGTCATTTTGGGCGTGTCTTTTTTGAGGGTACCCTTGTTTGGTGGTTTAAAAGGGAAGCCAGAAGCAACATCGCCATTTTTGGGGGTCCAATTCCTGAAATATGCCCGGGTGGTTGGTCCCCGGCATCTGCTGGAACCCTCCAGAACCCCCTCGAGCCTATCTGGGCCTATCCACCCCATAGCTTTCAGCTGTTGGAAGTCACCATTTCCGGAGGTCGATATCTAAAATACCACCAACGATAGTTATGAGGCAGTGGGATCCGATACCACTATACTAAGGAGCCCAAACATGAACCCAAAATACGCCTGGTCCTCAAGTTATATCCCCAGCCAGCATCGCCAGATCTCGGAGCCGCCCCAACAATCCCCGGAACCCTCGGATCCAAGGAATCAATCCTCGGAACTGCCCCAACCCCAAAGCTTTCACTCCTTGAAAAAGACGCCAACCCATGTCCTACCAAAAAGACACCCATGTCTGTGTGTTTGTGTGTTTTTTTCTTGGACCCTCAAAAGGCTGTTCTTGTGGTCCTTGTGTTGCAAGACCCGCATAAGAAGACGAGCACCCAGTCTCCTCAAAGAAACCCCAGAATGATGATTCCCCTGAGTAAATACCAACAAACGTTCTGGTTTCAACCATTGTTTCCAAGTGGTGCGAAATGGATTTCGCGACCATCCACAGTACGAACCATCGATCCATCGGGCTTCCTTACAAGGCCTGGAGCTGCTTGGAGTTGGGCTGCGGCGCCGGCTTCCCGCCGAAGACTCGATCGATTCCATGCGATGGGCACCCGGTGCCGCCAAAAAAAGGCACAGCCTCCAGCTGGCGATGCCTGGATTCAAGTGAACCTCGCTTTTATTGTTTTTGGCCAGAGCCAGAAAATGTAGGACCAAAAGACAAAGGGTGCGAGTAAGCACCAACAGTTTGGTTTTTATCAAGGGCTGAGCGAACCACCAACAGTTAGGAGGCTCTACCTGGATGAAAGGGATTGTGAGGCTGAACAAGAACGCCAGAACTAGAAAACGTAGGACCAAAAGACAGGTGTTGGGCGATGCTCATGTGAGGTCCGGGTCAAAAGGCTGGATGCTTTACTGGGGTTGCTAGAAATGCTCTTAGGCAACAGTTTGACAGCAGCTTACTTTCAATATATTCAGGGATGTGCCGTTTTTGTTTCATGCCAAACCCAGTTATCCTTCTTTTCAGCTTGTTTCTTGGGTGCGTTTCCCTGTAAAATCTCAGCCTACCAGAACAGTGGATCCACATGCTGTTGGGTCAAACTGTGATGTAGTCTATCGTGGGGCTCTTTAAATTTCTCACAAACGGATGGCAACTTTTTACAACACATGTGAACATGTGCAGGGTTCATTTAAAAATAATCTCAATCCAAACCCAATGCTGCTTTTACCATCCTTTGACTTTCTTGGAGGATCTTCTGCGATAGGTGGTTCTGTCTTAAGCGGGCCTCATGTGCATAGGATGTTTGTTGGAGACCCTTCGGTGGACTTCATTTACACAGGGATGTTGTGTCTACCAACCATGTGGCTTTTGAGAGCTTGCTTGTTTTGGTGGGGTGATGTTTACAGGAATCTTTTTTGATATGTCATGGTTTACGGTTCACTGTGTCTTTTTTGAGGGTACCTCCAATATGGTGGGTTTGGTGGGTTTCCATTTGGTTTCCCTTTAGAACCACCCAAAAAGGGCTACCGAGACTCAAAAAAGACGAGCCACCCATATGAAAAAGCTGAACATGAGGCTGGATAGGACAATGTGGGGGTGTCTCAAAATGGGATCGGCCCCTTATTGCATGCTGGTTGAACGAAACCAAAATGAAACCAACCATTTTGGGGGTTCCCCCCAAAAAAGACCTATGTGTCCTTTTGGGAGGGGAAATATGGGGGACAAACCACCGAGGCATACGAGGAACTGTGGCTGGCGCTAGGTCACTCGTTGCGGCGCGCTTGGGTGCCACGGTCTACGCCTTGGACACCGAGCAACTGACGCTGGACTGGGACTCCAGGTGAGTAGTTTCTAGGTTCCCCAGTAGTGCCCTCTCTCACCCTTTTTTGGGGGAGAATTCCCCCACCAAAATAGACTAATTACAGAGAAAAACGTTGGTACCAACTTATTCTAACCTCTCTACTGGAGGACCTAGACGTCCATGCTTGGGGGGCTTGAAAATTGCAGCCACGACCATTTGAACATGGCCATGTGAAAAGAGCAAGCATGCCCCATAGTGTTGTCGTTTTTTTTTCCCACTGCTATCTTGGCCAGTTGGAAAGTTGCAGCATGCCACCCTCATGTTGTCCATGTTTTCCCTTGCAATGTTTAGGACATGTTTCCCCTGGAGAGCCGTGCGAGGATCTTCTACAAGAAGCCTTCAACCGGCAGTGTCAAGAGCTCAGCACGCGGAAGGGCCTGACATATGGTAGATGCCACAACTTGGGTAAGGCTTAGGGCCTGACATTTGAAATTCCCTGGGGCAAGGGTGTTTTTTACCAAACTGGGCTGAACTGTTGAACTTGTGCCAACTTGTTCACCCAACCTTTGGTGCATTGTGCTTGGATGTTCGGACTTCAACTTTTTGCCAACTACTGGGTTTTCCCATTTTGCCCACTAAAAGTGAGTGAAACTTATGGCAGGGGAGCAGACGCAACCGTCCGCAACTGCCCCCTGTTTTTGGCCATGGAGCTCCCATGGTCTCCAGGTTCCACGCCGAGGGGAGGGGGTGACTCAGAGCCATGAGAAGAGCCTTGGACTCTCGGAACCCGAAAGCAGAATCGAAATTGGGGCTGGCCTTCCTCAGAATTTAAGACGCGCGGGTTGATCAACTGGTAACATGTCCCACGAGAATGGGAAAGGCTATGGGTCATTTTGGGTCGCTATGGGTCATTTTGGGGGCCCGCTTTGTGGGGGTATGGGTCATTTTGGGGGTGGACCTATGGGGGCTGGGCTATGGGGTCATTTTGCGGGCTTTGTGGACCTATGGTCATTTTGGCTTTGTGGGGCTATGGGGGCCCCTATGGTCATATTTTGTGGGCTTGTGGGGCTATGGCTGATTTTTTTGGGGGCCCCCACACTCACACCCACACGACGCACACGCACGCACACGCGCGCACCCGAACACGCACACGCGCCCGCACGCACACACGCACGCACAAACGCGCACATGCACGCACGCACGATTTTTGGGCCCGGGCTATGGGACATTTTGGGGGCTTTGTGGGGCTATGGGTCATTTTGGGGGCTTCCTGGACCTATGGCTCATTTTGGGGGCCCCGGCTATGGGTCATTTTGGGGGCTTTGTGGGGCTATGGGTCGGTCATTTTGGGGGCTTTGTGGGGCTATGTGTCATATTACACATCCAGGTTGGGACTTGTTGGGCAGCCCAGCCTCTAGGCGCCGGCAAGCTCACCACAGTACTGGGGGACGCCTGCGACCTGCAGGACAAATTTCGCTCGGTCCCAGGTGAGTCGCCCAGGGGTTTTGTCCGCAGAATCTTGCTGGCGCGATTAGTAGGGAATCTGGGAATGAACCTAGGGACTCCCTTAAAAGGAAACCACAAGTTGGATGGATAGTTTATAGGGGTCATTCCATTTCTCATTCCCTAGAGCTCACCTGGGGGTAAAACGAGCTCACCATGGCAAAGATCCTTTGCTTGGGGATCCCTTATTTCAGGTGTTGGACGCATTGACCAATTTGCAGACTTTACAGATGGCGAAGGCTTCTCATTGATAGCTGCTTCAGCACTTGGGAACATTGGGGGGAGGTTCCACCCCTAAATCCATCAACCAGAAGATGTCTTTGTGTTGCCTCCCGGGTCCTGGCCTTGTCCAATGCTGAGCTTTGGAACCCCGCTTTACCCCCCCCCCCCCAAAAAAAAAAAACACTCATTTTGAGAGGGGGGCTGGACCCACGGAAATGTTTGATCGGCTGATCTGGGTCCCCCAGTACTTAGTGCCCTTTCTCACCCCTTTTTCGGGGAAGGGTTCCCCTACTAAAATAGACTACAGGAAAAAGCTGTTACCTATTATTCTAACCTCTCTACTGGAGGACCTAGTGATATTATGTTTTTCTTGTGCTTTAGTTATCAAGAGCTCCTTCTAAGGAGTACAACGAGCTCACCCATGAAGGTTATTTGTTTATCATATGATATGATTTGGATGCTTTGGAGTCAAGGAAATCAGGCAGTTTTTGGGGGTCCATGTGGGTGTTTCTCATAAAAGTCTTCGCTTTACCTACCAACTCAAAGAGGGTCTACCATTTTGAGAAACTCCCATGTGTTTGTTTCCACGGCAGTGCGGAATATTAGGACGAGCTGCTGGAGTCTGTGTCCGTGGTGATCATCAGCGTGCGCCGCTCGGAGAGTGAGCGAATCAGTACGTGTGACGCGAACAAAGAATAGCCTTCAGTCCCAAAAAATTGGAGTTTTGGCCTATACGGGGCGGTTCATAAATTGTGAGGTGTCCTTTTGTTGTCCCGTTGTCAAAAGAGCTACTCACTTGGGGTTGGTAGGGATGTTTGAAGATATATGTTAGGGATTTACACAACCATGACAATGAATTCCAGTAGCGGGGTTTTACACTATTTGTCCACCAAGCATTGTTGAAGGTGTGCCGACCATGGACATTCATAGACCATGTGGTGGGTTGGCCAAGAATCTGCCTTCTTTCTTTATGGTGAGCTCACTTGGGGATGAAATGAGCTCACTTGAGTTTTCTTAGTCAGGGGTTTTGAATGACCGGTTTAAACACAATGCAACAAATTCTTGGCCTGTTCTGTTGCGACCCAATGGTTGTAGAGGTCCTTGTGTGTCCACTTTCCGGGCGGGTAAACTCGTGTAATAGTTTGAAACGCATATAAGGATCCCTGTTCTACCAGGCAAAGTCCAGAGACAAGCCAATCTAGGAAGATCAGAAATTGTTTTTCCCCGAAGAAAACACCATCCCTCTTTTGGTTCCCTTTTCGCGGGAATCCAAAAACGGCGCCAACCTTGGTGTCCACATGTTTGCCGGCTGGGACTATCCCAGGACTTGCTGTACAGCGTGCAGCTGGGACGCTCTTTGGGTGTGCCCAGTCAGCTGGCGGGTGCGAAAGACATCCACAAGAATCACAAGCCTTTTTGACGTGCTGGCACTGAAGATACTGATCCTGGCTCACCTTTTCAGTCGTTGTGCTGTTTTTTTTCTTGTTTTTTTTCCCCCTATTGTGTCTCCTTTCAACCAGCAAAAAGTTAACGTCCCCCTTGGGACTGCCGTCCATGTTTCGCATTTTCAGCCAAAAGAGTCCCATTTGAAGAATGGCCAATGGCCGAAGACGTTGGCGATGCTTTCAAGCTCCAGTGGCAACTTTCAAGCTCCAATGGCCAAAGCCGCATGGCTGTCATGTTGGAACTTGCCACACTGGAAAAGCCGCCTTTCGCCAGGAAGAGGATATTTCTGGTGGCGAAAGCCCTAGAATATATACATATATACATATATACATTTATACATATACACATATGTACAACTAAAAAGGATGCCAAAAGGATTCCAGCCATTTGTGTGGGGGGGATATGGAGGACACTTAGAGCCTGTTTCGCAACCTCCTTCTTTTAGGGTATTTTTTTTGAGGGGGCGGGGATTCCTGCGGGGAAAATGTGGGGCGGGTCTATCTCAGGGTTTTGCTACCATCAAGGGCCTTAAGCCAGGTACGCGCTTGGGCCGATGGCTCCGCGAGGTGCACTTTGATTTGATCTTGAGCTGATTCTCTTTTTTATCCCCAAAATGGGTGTGGCTCAAGAATTAAGCAGGGGGTGCGGAGGTGTTCATCTTGTTTCCATTTCCCCTGCTGCAAATATTGCACATCATTTTTTGAGCCATCGCCAAATGGCGCAACGGTTTTCCGATTGGTTTCCCCTTACAACCAGAAAAGAAGGCACCAACTCATAGAAAAGACGAGCCCCCATGTTCTCGAAACCGATTGCGGGTTTCCAACTTGTGGTCCTTCCACGGAAAGTCGCCTGATTTGCGGGGCCGTTTTTGGGAGGTGGTTTGCTTGTCGTTGAAGGGTCCCCCCCCATTTAGAGACAACGGAGACAAGCCCGTCTGTGTTTGGGCCGGCGAAACCCTTAACCTTCCATCAAGGATGTGTCAAGACGATAGGAAAGGTAACCAAGGCCAGGAAATGAGAACGCCTGGAGTTCAGCTTTTTAAGGCGGTGTGGGTTTCCCAAGACCTTCCTGAGTTCCTGCACTTTAAAATCTTTGGGAAGACCATTTTCGTGGTAAATACAAAGTTTGGACTTTTGTGGGTCAGTGTTAGTTCAAAGAGGATTCCCCTTCTTGGTTAGGGAATTCAGACTTGAAATATTGGCCTACCAAACCCCCACCCCCGGAAAATTGGGGTGCGGTGTTCCTCTTCCCTTGAATCCCAAAAAAAGAATGCTGGCGGTTTGCTTCTTGGATCCTTAGAACCCGTCCGAAAGGAACTTGCTGGTGCGATAGGTAGGGAATGAGAAATGGAATGACCCCGAAACAACCCATCCAACTGGTGGTTTGCTTTAAGGAGCCCAAAGCCTGGGTTCATTCCAACATATTCCAACTCATTCCCCGCTGAGCACCAGCAAGGTTATGCGAATGAACAATTCCCTGGGTTTCCCTTCAATCCCGAAAATTATGGGTGGTCAAATCCCTTTGAACCCCCGTAAATCCCCTTAAAATCCCTTTGACACCTGTAAATCCCCGGGTGTCCCTTTTACTCCCGAACAAACTGGGCTGTTTGCCTCTTGGCTTCCCCTTAAGCGCCCCCCGTCATCGAATCCGCCGATCGGAAATTCGCAGGCGCCGGGCCGCGGGCTCCTGCTGACGGACGGCGGCCGCTCCGGGCGCGCCGCCTTTCTGGAGGCCAGCTCCGCCTCGGAGCTCCGCGGGGGGGGGGGCGAAGAAGACGGAGGCCGTGCGAGGCCGCGGCTTGGACGCTTTCTGGGCGCGGCGTTTGGTGAGGATGTCCCCACTTTTTGGGGTGTGGTTTGAAGAGGGAAGCCACGAAAAGAACCACTTGTTGTTGTTGCTTTTTGTTTGGGGGGGGTGCCCTAAAAGAAAACTTCCCCCCACACGTCCATCTTTGGACTCCAGGAAACAGGGAACACCACTTCCCTTGGTGGACTTTCAACTTTTGAGCATGTAATTCGACCGCCCCACGTACTGGCATATGCAAGCCTCATGTCCAGGCTTCGGCACCCCGGGCGGGGGATCCAACTCGTGGGTTAGCGTAGGTGGTTAGGCTAAGCAATGGTTTCACTGTGAAGAGTGGCCCAAAAGGAATCGATGGTCCAACTTGTCAACCCAGGGCATTTCTGTTCTTGAAAGGATATGTTTCAAGGAATGGCAAAGTGCTCCCTTCGATTTCCATGCGAAGAATAGTGTGTGGTTGGTTCCCCAAAGCTCCAACCGCGATGTTGAAACAGATGACTTCCTGAAAAACCATTAGGCTATGCCCAAGATCTTCCAATCTCTCCAGCTCACGATTTGGGAATATCCGGATCTCCCGGGCATCAAAAGACCAAAAGTACCAAAAGAGTGCAAAGATCAGCTCCAACCAGGTGTTGTTCGACGCACTTCAGGAAGCCGCAATTTGCCCATCCAAACTGTCTCCCAACTGAGCAGTGGTGTTCCATCAAAGAAACGTAAACATTGTGTATATATATATATATATGTTCCAGGCTTCCTTGGCCCCCCCCCCCACCCCCCCCCAATGGTCATGCTCAGTCGGGAAGGTAGCACAGTGTGACCCTACAAGCCCCCCGCCCCCCTGTGGGATGGGTGGGGGGGTCCATGGTTCCCACCCCCCCCCCCCGCCCCCCTGTGGGAATGGGGGGTGGGGAGAATGGTGGCACAGTGTGACCGCAAAGCCCCCCGCGACCATGGTTCCCACACCGCCCGCTGGGGTAGCAAGTAAAGTGCGTTTGCCACTGGCGCGTTGCAGCGCACTTGGTTGGCACTTGGTTGTGGCGCTGCAAACCACAAACTGCGTCGTGGCATCGCGCACTGTCAATTGCGACAGCGCTGCAACTTGTCGCGTGCTGCAAAATGAGCAAATCGCATTGCAGCGCATCACACGAACAGCGCCGCAAACGCGCCCACAACGTCGCGCGCACACTGGAGCAAGCCGCCCCACAAGCCCACCCCCCCCTGTGGGGGGCGGGGGGGGCCAGGGTCCCCCCCCCCTGGATGGACCCATACCATTGGGGGGGGGGGGGGGCTGGGGACGACGGGCGACGGGAACATATATATATATATAACATATACACATTCATATAATACATATATATATATATATGCATACATTGTATGTATATATAGATGTACACGCACATATATATATATATACACCAGTGTATGCACTTTGTCGTGGGAGTAGCACCTAGAGCGTCCTTTCGTGGTAGCCAGGCTCCCTGAACTGCGCACCGCAGGCCTTTGACGAGGCCTATAAGAAGGCCTTCTTCGAGGATGTGTCGGGCAGCCCAACTGGCGCGGACGCGACGGCGCGACGTCCAGCCACTCCCAAAGAGTGCGAGTTGGACTTCGGGTTGCTGAAATGAGTATGTGTTGGTTGGTTTGCGGGAATGTTGCTTATTGTTGCCTTTTTTGTTAAATAAAGCAAAGTAAATATGTATATACATATTTGTTATTTTTGTCCTTGTTGGTTTTTAACAGGAATCGATTTCACTACTGGAAAGATGTGCTTGTTTTTTTTCCAGGCTTAAGCAAATGGAAGTTGGATCTTTGAGCTTAAAGCTTCCGGGTGAAGTTGCAGGATATTTTCCGACCAATAAAAGGTGAAACTTGTTCTTTTGTTGTTGTTGTTTTTGCGCAAGGGGCAACAACCACCAAGCCCAATTCCCCGAGCTCGTTTTTTGTTTTTGCAATTGTTTGATCCCAAGAGGCGATAGCCCGCCCCCATTACAATACTGGGGTTTCCTGTTGGTTTCTGATTCCCAAAATTGGTTCTGATTCCCAAAAGTGGAGGTGCCGGATGGTTTCAGAACCATAGAGATCGTTCCATGGTCCATGTCCTTTTCAGCATCACCTGGGCCATGCTGACATGAGTGTCTTTTGTGGTCGTTTGTGGTGATGTTTAGGCAGCACACATCAGGAACCCTGACAGACAAGGTCTACCTATGCCTGGGAACTCCTGATTTCCTGAGTTTACTGAAAGGTTTCTTGGCTTCCCTTTGGTTTTGAAAGCCACACACAAAGGGATGTGTCCTTACACTCGCTCCCGTGTTTTGACGTGTGATACTTTTCAGGAATAAGGCAATTGGTTACTTTTGTTGGCCAATCCAGGCAAGTGAGAGAAGGAACTGGGAAGGTAATTTTAGTGAACAACAAGTTTGGCTACTTTTGTTGGCCAATCCAGTGAGAAAAGGAACTGGGAGATTCGAGGCCGGTTCCTCCCTGGGCCGCGCAGCGTGCGGACTTCTTTGATGGCAACCACACCACCTCCGTGGGCCTCTTGAGGCGGATTGCCATCAATCTGTGGGTCTCAAATGATTACTCCTACAAGGAGTAAACCACAGGTCACTGGATTTCGCAAAGCCGCTCAATTCAACGGATTCCCATTGAAACGATCGCCACTTTTGGAGGTTGTCAAAAAAGGGAAACGGAGGAAACCCTAGTTTACTCCTGCCAGGACTTAACGTACCTACGACCTCGGTCTTATTGTTTAGGATCTTATAGTACTCTTGTTGGCCGCACCGCCTGCAAAGAAGGGAACCCAAAAGCGGGTGACACGATGAAGATTTCTGCAAAAACGATGGCTTTGGGGTTCCACGTCAATTTGCAAGAGGGTACTCGTACGTGTTTTGAATGTTCGACCGTTCGCAAACAATTTGTTATTTAGGGTTCCCAACCAAAAGATGATTTTTCTGCTAACCTGCAAACAATGGTAGTAGATGAATTCAGTTTGTGACTGTGAAAGGAAACTTAACGCAAACCAGATGTTGTGGTCGATTGATGGAGGGGTCATGTGGGGTCAATTTTACTTTGGTCTTTGCCGAAAGTTGATTGATATTGGAAACCACCTTATCAGGGGAAGATGTGGTGTCTCATTGCATACTCGTTTAAACCACCCCTTTGATACGGTACAGACACGCCCACACAGCTCGGTTTGTCGCTCCCGATTGGAAGGGTGAAACACTGCAGAGGCTCACGTTGAATTTCAATGGAGAACCCCTGAAAGATTGGGCTGGACATGAATCCGCAGGTAAACGACGTCCACTAAATGTCCACCAATTTTGAACTCTTTCAGGCCGACACACGCACACACACAGAATTGTATGTGTTGGTATGAAAGCACATAAGGTTTGTCAAGAGTAGGGGCCCTTTTTGGTATCCTCTTTAAAAGGCGGCACAGGGCGGCGCCAGGTCCCAAAACAGGTCCATACGTTTGACAACACCCCATATGCACGGTCAATTCATGCACAACTTGTATATGCACCCATTGAGTTGCACTGCAGGTACTGAAGCATTGGCGGCTACTCGATCTTGCTCCACTACTCGGCTCGCGCGGGCCTCGTCCCCGTTCGTGGAGGCTTCGAGGTTTCGCGGCACCGAATCGTTCAAAGATGACCAAACCTCCTCGGGTAGAAACCTGGTGAACGGTTGCCTTGGTTGCCCTTTTCAGGAACCACCCGTGTGCCAGGGATTTGGGAGCAACCCTGAATTCCATGAACTCGGAGGCATTCGGCTGGACGCGCGTGCGAGGCGTCACGCCGCAATGGCCTTCCACCCGAAGATGCATCAAGCGATCTCGAAGGAATGTTCGGGTACACCCCCGGGTACCGGCCTTTTTCAGGCTTACCTTTTGTGGATGCCCTTGCAAGTAAACCACAATCCATGTTTGAATCTACAGGGTTTCCCTTGCTTATAATATCAACCGTTCCTTGACTCTGAAGGGTAGATTCCCTCCAGGACACAATGTTCCCAATCGATTCGGTTGAGCAATGCCTTTTGGTTCTCAGGTTGGTTCAAGGTGTCAGAAATTTACAAAACCGTCGGTACCTGGGGTTTGCTGCTGAACGAATTCCGCAATCTGGCATCTGTCCCAAAGAGCGGACGAGAAAGTGCGACTGCATGCGGGATGGTGAGGTGTGTCCAGACCCAAGCTCACTTCTTGAGTTCCTGGACTTTACACTTTTTGGGCAGACCATTTTGGTGGCAAGCCAATCCACTCAGGAAGTGAGCAAGGTGTCCTTTGCTTTTGAATCCGAATCCGCGAAAAGCTGTGGTTTTCTGTTCCAGCTCTTTCGATTGTTGACCCGTATCAATGCGAGCCACGGACTCGTAGGATGATATGGAACTGAAGTTCACTCACCAAATCCAATAGTTCTAAAAATCGGCGTGGGTGTGGCGAATTTGTGGATCCACCAAACTGTGGGGTGTTAAAAGAGGACTCTTCTAGAGTACTAAAACCAGCACCAACAGGGGGAAGAACAGGCGAAAACCACAAAAAGCGCCTCTCCAACCCGTTTTTCTAGAGTGCCTCACTGACCTTACATTTCCCATCAATCCGGGCGGCGCTTGCCACGCCTAAGCATCCGCTCCCGCTGGCCCAAGCGATCGGATGGACTGAAAACTCTCAAGGTGCGGGGCCGTGAGGTGGTCGGAGGGGGGCCCGCGTGCCTTCGGCGTAGCAGCTTTCACAAGGAAGCTGGAGGTTCAGACACCAAAAAATGCCATTTGCGGAAGTTCTTCTTGGGTTCTGGGGGTCAAGGACCATGCCAAGATGGCCCAAGAAAATCCCAGAAAACATGGGAAGGTCCGGCCTGCAGCTGCAGGAACCAAGTGCTTGGGGTGGAAAAAGACAGAAATCCATTGGTCGTTTGTGCGCCTCAATTCCCCACCTCCTCAGTTTGACTTCATACTTTGTGGGAGGATGGAGGAGCAAACCCTGGCGGTTCCCGGCCCTACCCTCAAACGTCTGGTTTTTGAGTTTGGAGGGATTTCCCACGGAAGTGTACGTTGCAGATCAAGAAACCACTTCGGTTCCCACCGCTCCCCCAAAAAAATCACAATTGAGTTTTTGGGGGACCTATTTTTGATCCACAGCCATAAAGTCCCTGGCTCACAGTCTGGGGACCTTCTGGTTTTATGTGTCCATGGCACAACGCCAGGAGCTTCTCACGTCATGTCGGACCTGGAGCCGGAGCCTCGGGCGGCGGCAAAGCTTAGGTCTGCGCTTCTGGTGGTTTGGGCGCATCAAGCAACAGGTTCCAACATGGAACGGTGACTGGAAGGCCATTTTAAGCCACATGTTCCTTACTCCCTGAGTTCTTGAAGGTGGAGCAATGTTGGGAGAAAATGATGTTGCGTGGCAAAATGTGTTGCTTACCTTTTGTGGCCAATCCCCTCGACGGGACGTGAGTTTAGGGACCTGTGCCGTATGGGAGCTCTGCGGCTTGAGGCCCAACTCCTTCGCCGTCTCGGCCATCGGGCGCCAGTCGTGCTCAAAGAAGGAGCTGGGGGAACTTCCGAGCCAACAGGGCCGATTTGTTTGCCAACTAGTGGGTTTTCCACTAAACCACTAAAACTTAAGCTTTGAGCAGGGCAGAAAGCAACCGAGGTTTGTGGGGTCCTGTTTTGGAGGGTCTAGACTTGGCCTATCCACGTTGTTCGTGCCTCCACAAGTACCTCCACAAGTGCATCCGAAGCTGAGCCCTGTCAGACTGGCGCGGTCCAAATTTGTGGATGGACAAAATCAACTTCACAAGCTGGGCTCTTTGGTGCATGTTGCTTGGATGTTGGGACTTTGACTTTTTGCCAACTGATGGGTTTTCCATTAAACCACTAAAAGTTTAGCTTTTAGCAGGGAAACAGAAAGCAAGCGAGGTTTGTGGATGGACAAATTCCACTTCACAATCAGCTGGGAGGAACCGTTTGCCCCATTTACTGTATACAATTCCATCGCAATGCAAGATTCCGCCAGTTCGGTGGGGGAAAAAGGAAAGGATCTTCCGGGGCCATGTAATTAGACTGTTTAAGAAGCTCTCATCTTGCTGGTTCTCACAGCAGGGAATGAGACATGGAATGACCCGAAAAAAATAAAAATAAAATAACAAATCGCTATGGTTTCCTTAACCCTGGGTCATTCCCTACTGAGCACAGCAAGTTATGTTTCACTTCTGCAGTCTCCAGTACCACCTAGAGAAACCAGGGACTCCGGATCTGAATCGAGATCCGACCAAACTAGGTAGAAGTCCCCAGATCGCGGTTTGGGTCTTTGGTGTGAGGTGACTTGTTAATTCCCCATGAGCCAGCACTTGAGACGGAGGGGTTATTGGGCTTTGGTGCTCTTGGACCAACTAAGTTGCAAGCCTTCAAGGCTCAAGTGTGACCCGTGTTGAGTCAAGATTCTGGTGGCTTTTTGGTGTCAAACAACTGTCTGTTTTGGTTGAAACAGGTTGTTTCCCCACTCACAAGCAAAAAGCCGGCAAAAAGGAGACAGGGAATTTGGGAAGAAGCACGCGTTTTGTTGTTCTGTTAATGTCAGGGAATGTTGGGGATTATTCAACCTTGTGCTGCAAAAGGCAACCAGCCAGCCAACCAACCCAACCCAGACTGACCCAAACCAACCCAAGCCAACGCAAACCAACCCAAACCAACCCAAACCAACCCAAACCAACCCAAACCAACCAACCATTTCGGGGTCAGACACTTCCAGGAGACATGTCCAGCCTTCTCCTTTGGCACGCAGTCCAGAGAGGCAGCAGCAATGAAGGCGTGGGTTGGAAAGAACGGGGGGCTCGTCCTTTTTGTGAGTCTCGGTACCTGATTCTTTTTGTGTTCTTTAAATCCTGAGAGGAAAACGATGAATCTTGGTGTGCTTTTGCTAAGTGGCACCCGGTTTTTGTGTTTTTAGTGTTCGGAAATCAGAAGGAATGCTGCCTGCGCCATGTTGCGGGGTCCGATTCCTAAGAAAGACGAGGCACGCAAACCGCCCTTGGCGGGGTCCATACTCCATTCGAGTGCCCAAAACCAATTCCAGCTGGGCTATAGTAGGTCCTTTCTGGTTTAGTCTTGGGGTCTTGTCCCTGTTCAAACCTTACTATCCGTATTCTCCAAAGGGGTTTTGTTTGAAGATTTGTCAATTGAAACCACTTTTTGTTTTTTGGGGGGAACGGGGGGGAGGCTCCATATTCCATTTGAGGAGAAGTAGTATGGAAAATGATTGGGGCCCTGGTCTTATCGAGTCCGGTATCTTCCATGGCAGGTTGGTGTGTGTGTGTGTGCTGCGGTTTGCGATGGTATTTGTCAGTGTCCAAGGCTTCCAATACTCTCTTTTAAGAGTGTAGAGTTGAAATTATGGCATGTCGCACAACAAGTGTCACTTTTTGGCAGGGAAGCAGGGAGCCAAAGACCGGTTCCCCATCAAAAAAGGATCCTAATTTGGATGAAGATCTCCAGCCCAAAAATCCTTTTTGTCCAACGGCAGGACACGTCCTCCTTCACTGTTCTTGGCAAGTGTTTTGTCGTCTGTTCATTTTTAGTACGGGGCGGCAACAAACAACGTGTCTTTGCTACCATACCTAGGGATGTGAAGCCTCTATTGGATGTTCGGCCAAGTTTATAAAGTGGCTTTTAAATTAGGGACCTACTGTGGATGGTTGCGAAATCCATGTCGCAACTCCGTTCAGAAAACTACGTAAGGGAATGGTTCGATCCCCCTGTGAATACCAACAAACAATGGTTTGTCATGGTTTCAAAGTGGTGCAGGATTTCGTCCATCCACAGTAGGTCATAACCTACTTACAAGTGGGTTAAACTCCACTTGGGGGACTCACAACTAGGTTATAGCCTAAGTTACTAACCATTTCCTATCTTGGCAACGGAGACCCACATACAGAGCCCTGTCTTTGCATGAGCGGATAAGTAATTTCACAGGAAGCCTCTTGGTTCCTCTGGCCATCGTGTGTCCATATCCCAGCTCGTGTTGAAAGAGACGGATCTCTCAACTGGTTTATCAATCCACTTCCGGAGCTCAAATGGCCGTGGCTCGAAAAATTGTCGACTTAGGGGTACGCAGGTTTTAGTTTGTGATTCCATTTACCAAGCTGCCATTTTGGCACCTGTTTTTTTACCCACAGCCAAATATCTAGCCCTGTCATTTTACTTCTAAGAGAAGGTAAAAGGCCAAAGGGCCCAGCTGAGTTCCCGTTTCAACGTCCCCCGTTTCAACGACCGCACTTGCCAGGTCTTCGTTTCGCCCAAGCTGACGAAACGCCAGCTCAAGGGCCTCACAGCGCCTGGTGTGTGGCTCAGTCACCAGCGTGCTGAAAACAAAATGGCCGGTATCTGAAGAAGGGTATGTTCCCCACATATAGGTGTCTTATAAAAGGGGGTGGGTCTATAACAACCCAAGATATGGGTGTTTCTCTAGATAGCTGTTTGGGAGGCTGGGAGTCTGGGATGATTATTTTCCTCTTGGTGTCCCTCACCACAGCTGGCCTTTCCCACACCCGCGGCCCAAGTTTCCCCACTTCAACCATGGTGAGACCTTTGTCGGGCCTTGGAGGAAACCAGGGGTAGCAGAGGCTCGGGTTGGACTTTACTGATGGACGAGGTTCCGCACCAAACTCTGAAACTCTGGAATGAGTCGATTCCCCCTGAAAAAACCAACAAACAATGGTTTCAACCATTGTTTCTTGGGTGGTGCGCAAAGGTTTTCACAGCGGAATCCATCCACAGTACGATTGCAACAGAGCTGGTCTTGGCCCAACAAAAAACGAGGTCTTTGAGACTCCGAACCTGGAAACGCTCGCTCGTGTTTTGCGGGGAATCAGGACCTACGGGATTTCATGTTAGTTGGAGGACAAGTGTTTTCGGTTTTCGCTTTCTGTGGATCTTGGATCTAGGTAAGAATGACTGTAAGAATGTGTTTGTCTTTTTCTTGTGGGAAAACACGGTTGCCAGCTGAATGGTTCGGTGCTTTGGCGTTTGAGGCGAAAAGAGACACTGATGATTGCCAGGAATTCCTTGAAGATGTGTCACTAAAATTAGAAAGATATGGTTCGCACGTCAAAGTCTACCATTCGCAGAGTTGGGTTCAGATGTGTCATTCCACTGATCTCATTTTGATTTTCTCGCGAGCAGTGAGGTCCCATTTACGACATTCCCAAGATGGTGGGCAGTGGACCTGCCTATGCCTTCCCGCAGGAGAGCGCAAGCCACATAGCACAAAGGCTTTGGCCGTTGATTTCAATCTTGAGGAAGACACCGGCTTTGGCCGTTGATTTCAATCTTGAGGAAGATAAAGGGAATCTCCTTTTGAGGAAGGAATTCTTGCGCAAACAGCTACGGTCGATTTCCTGAATGTTGTAAGCCAGGAAGTCGGATTTTGCCACCCTGATTTACCCTAGGTTTTGGAGCACTACGATATGAACAACCACTTATATAGGTACGTGTCCGTGCTGTTTTTGTCTGGCCAAGAATGAGTCTCGAAGAGGGACCCTGTTTTTGTTCTCCCTTCGTTGTTCAGTGTTTTGTGTTTTCCCCTTTGTTATAAGTCTCGAACAGGAACTCTTTTTTGGCCTTCGTTTTCCTGTCTCCCCACAACCGAAGGCCTTCCCGTGCCTCATCCTTGGGCGTTAGGAGCAGCGGCCGCACGGGGGCGCCCGATACCCCGACTCCTCGGTGGACTTGACCTGCGCCACGGTGGATAGCCAGAAGGCCGCTGACGTTTGCGTCCCCGTTTGTGGTGAAGACTTTGGAGACGGTGGAGACGGTGAGTGAGATGTTGTTTTTTTATTCTGGCACAAACAACGACTTTTCGAACAAATAGCCGTGCAGAGACTGGTTGTTTCAGGGTGGGAAAAGGGAATAAAGGACATCTGGAAATGTCTTGTGGAAAGATGGTGTTTCATGCCGGAGAGGTGTTGTTTTGAGGTCGTTTGAGGTTGACACGTGATGGGGTGGTGATGGGGGTGGCCCGCTTTGGCAAGTCCATGCTCGCTTGTCCAACACGGTGCTATTGCCGTAGTTGGGGGTGGAAAAGGCCAAGCAGCTCAGTTGCTCGTCTTTGGGGGAAGCTGTGCTCTTTACTAAGTGTCGTAGCTACCTTCTTGTTCGTTCTTTAAAGAAGAGCCTTCTTTTTGTTTCCTTTTTTGCTCTTGGGTCAAACTTGGTTTCCTTGTGCTTTGGCCGAACCGTGGCCAAGAAGAGACCTCTTGGCCTTTTGACAGCTGGCACCGCCCGGCAGGTGAAGTTCGACACTTCGGCGTATGCCACCTTCGGCCGCGGGCTTAGGGCTCGCGGGCTCACTCCCCGAGCTGCCATCCCCGGGGCTTTCCTGGTGAGCAATCAGGCTTATCCGGACATACTGTGGATGGACAAAATCCGGCGCCGGTTTGTAGGCGGTCTATCCTAGTATAAGGTTTCATCCATCCCAATCACTGGATTTTGTCCATACACAGTAGTGTCACTTTGCACGCGTGGAATACACTCCGTTTGGTCACATTTTAGACGGGCCCATCTGTAACCTGAACTCATGTTCTCACTGCCAACCAGCTGGACTTGAGTTTCGGTTGGTTCACATGGTGGCAAACAAGCTCGGGGTTTCTTGTTGGCCAATCCATCCAAGGAAACCAATGCTTGGAAATCAGGCCATCGAGTGCTATCCTGTCCATTCATGGCTGGTGTCAACTTGGGTCTTTGTGCGCGTGTTGAATTGCCACCAGAATCCCCCACATTTTGTGATCGTTTTGGCCCCCTAACCAAACTCCTCCCCACCCCACCCACCGCCCCCCACCCCACAAAACTACCCCACCCCACAAAGCCACCCCACCAACCCACCCCATGACAACCCCCAGGGACGGAGATGCGAATGGACATCAAGAACGCCGAGATCCTGGTGACGAACCCCAACCTAATGCTGGGGATGGAGTCCCCAGGACTGAAGAAGCAACAAAAACCCATCAGCTGGGAGCGGTTTGGCGCCGGGCACCCTTTTTCAGAGCTCCTTAAAAGATACATGTTGCAACCATTTGAAACATGGCTTTTTCCACCCAAATGAAGGGAAACCACAATTTACAAGGCAATGTTCAGGTGTATAATGTAAGGGTCCCTGTTTTTGGAGTTGTGTTTAAAGGAGACCGAAAGGACAGCCATTTTGTGGGGAGAGTGGTACCTCCTGGGAGGTTGTTTTTGTTTTTTTGTTGAAGGAGGCAAGCCTATTTCTTGCGATCTTGAAAAACCAAGCCTCCCGGGTCAAAAAAGGGAATATCCAGCAGGTGTCCTCTGTCCAGAAATCACGGCAGCGAGGATTTTGTAAGACTTCTTTAATTGTGCGAAAGCGCCAAACTGTTCAATTGATTGTTAGAAAGATCACAGGCTTCCAACTCCCTCTTCTGGCTTCCTCAAAGCAAGGGCTCAAGGCTGCAAGGTTGGCATCTGGTTTTGGGCCACTGAGATTGCAAACCAACGGGGCATGTTTTGTCTTTAAAGAAATTCCTCGCAATGATCAGGCTGCGGAGGTCCCCATGCAAATGACCCCGCCTCACAGTTTGGAGTGGCATTCACTTGAAGGATACACCTAATAGCTTATGCATGTAAATGGCAGCTGATGTCGAGTTGAATGTCCAAAGAAACGTTTTTCATCCCCAGCCTCAGTTGCCCAAAGCGAACCGCCCGGATCTGACCTTTTGGTTTCCTGTTTTGGGTTCCCATATTTCAAGCGGTTTATCATGGTTACAGGCCACCTGGTTCGTGCATGGAGCTTGTTGATCAACGTGATGCTTTGAGCCAAGTCCAAGTGGGGCTGCGTGGAACCCCCACTAAACCCTAACAAGGTCCCCCAGTAGTGCCCTTTTCTTCTGTTTTGGGGGAGGGTTCCCCTACTAAAGTAGACTACCGAAAAACATTGGGTACCCTTACTCTAACCTCTCAAATCTGGAGGACCTAGTGATATTACTTGTGTCTTGTGCTGTAGTTATCGGGAGCTCCCCCTGGGGGTTACGGGGAAACCCCACTGAACCCTAAGCAAAGAAAACATTCTTTCTATTTCTGGGTCCGAGCTGGGCAGCTGAGCCGCGGCTCCGCGAGCGAGGAGCTGCGGAGTACCGGGTGCAGGAGCACTCTGTACGGCTGCAACATCCCAAGTACAGCTTTGGACCTATGGAGGACAGCCAATTGAGAGACCAGTGTTTTGCTTTGTTGAGGGGGTGGGGGGGAGTTGTTTGATGGTTGTGTGATGATTATTATTTTTTGGTTGTGCTTGGTGTATTGTCAGGTAATGGAAGGGCGGTGTCGAAGCGACATAGCGAGCTCTTTTTGCACCGTTTGACCGGTTCCTTTGTTTGAAAATCCACTTGCCCCACTTTCAAGCTCAGGTGATATCCCCAACCGCACTTGCGGAACCCCTCGCCGAACCCTCCTCGGAACCCCGGAGCCGCGCGGAACCCTCGGAACCCTCGCGGAACTCTCGCGGAACCCCTCGCAAATCCTCAAAGCCACCCCGGCCCACAATTGCTCGACTGCTTGGTGGCGTTTTTTCGAAAGCCTTGAGCTAGCCACGAGGAAGGACGCTTGGAGAAGCCACAAACCAACCGCAAGCCATTGGCCCTTCAAAGCTGTGTTGAAGGACGTGATTTTCTTTGTTTTTGGCAAGTGCTTTGCTGTTCTGTCAAAAGCTTGGTGCAAGCGGATTCCTACCACGGGGAAATTTGTGTCTCCCCTTGTTTCCTGATTTCCCATTTGCTCCATTTGGGCCTTGTCGAATCCACAGCAGCGTGCGGTTTGTTTGCCCACCTGGCAGGGTAGATGCAGCTTGATGACATCCTTCCCGCTCTCTTAACTTTTCCATCACCCTTCAACTGGTGCGTTTCCCGAGCCCAAACCCCCAAAGTGTTGCTTTCAAGTTAAACCAACTACTGTGCATCACAACCCACGCCGATCGGCACCAGTTGGGATCGATGAACCCCCCAAATGTACTGCTTGACAACCACCAATCCCAACTGGTGCGAAGTGGATTTTTTGTCAACTATCCCACTTGGTGCGAAGTGGATTTTGTCGACCACAAAAAAAGCCGTTGATGCTCCTTTTGATAAGCCTTGTCAACCTTAAAACGGGTATCAAGGCCAACAGACAATTGGTGCGGTACCGTGGATGCCCTAAGTATTGCAAGTAGGGGAACAAGGCAATCTCTCGAAGTTAATTACTCGAAATGATCATGGTTCTGTGGGTGGGTGCGGTTGATGTAGTTGCAATAGTGTGGCTCACTCCCTGAGTTCCTGGACTTTGTTGGACCAATTCACATCGGAAGTGACTTGCGATGGGCAGGGAATGGGAAATGGAATGCCCCGAAAAAAGAAAAACAAAAAACACATCCACTGGTGGTTTCCTTTCTGGAATCCCCAAAAGGGTTCAAGACAACTCATTCCCTACCGATGTATCGCTCCGACAAGGCGAGGGCATCCAACTCGATTTCCGTGAGACGTGAGGAGCATGCCGCCTTCTGCAAGCCCAGCCCCCGCCTTTCGATGCACAACACCAGCACACCCCCGCGCCAAGCTCGGTGCCGGAGGGCGTTTTGCTTTACGTGTCTTGTGTTGGTTGGTTGGAGCCCGTTTTTGGTCAGCCCTTTTAACGTAAAACCAACAAATTATGATTTGTTAGACTGTCAGAAATCCGTTGTTTCCCTGTTTGGTGGTTTTCAACATTACTAGTTTGGCCCCTTTGTTTTTTATAAACGAGGAAACTTAGACAGCCCTGTATGTGCCATGGCTGAGTACCCTTCGGGTCCATATGGGGACAAGCCCAAATGATTCTGTCTTGGAGTGTCTCATAGACGTGACGACCATATGTCCCCTGCTCACAGGACCTAGATTCCTGGGGTTCGTAAGGATAAATCATCAACGCCGTCATAGGAGGTGTAGACAACCATGAGGTTCCATGTGGATGTGTGTGTTTTGGTCTTTAGGGGTATTTCGGCTACACCTTGGGTTTCTTGTAATTATGTGAGCCATGGAAGTCACTCAAAATGGTGACCATGTGCTATGGGACATGCCCATTTTCCCTGGAAGGGCTTGGTTCCAGGGACTGCAGGTCTTGTGTTTTTGTTTGGCGTGCTGTTCCCCCTCTTCTGGTGGAGAAGTTCGGCATTCCAGGTGCCACGAGGCAAACGGTGTCCAACGCCTGGAGTCGCTGGCAAGAATGATGGGTTTCTTGTGCATATGCCCAAGCGCCTTGTTTTTTGTTTTTTGTTTACTTTAACCCTCAGACCACTCTCTCTCTCTCTCTCTCTCGCTGGCCTTGTTGGGATCCCTGGACTGAGATGGCAGGTGGGAATTCAAGAAGCCAAAACGACCAGAAGAGCAATTCGCCAAAAGCAGATATCACCTTCAAACCGGCAGCCGAATTAGACCGATCAGTATGAGTTGGATGACGCACAGGAAATCACATTGAAACCGACATCATTGTTCGAGGTCCGCTTCCTGTTTTGGGAAACACCCCTCAGCCAGAAAAGATGTCGTGGAAACGGTCCTTTGAACAAAACGTGATCGAAGCTTCACAGATGTTCCAAGACTTGCTGTTCGTGCAGGCTTTTGGTATGTTGGACTCCTGCTCCAGGCAAGTTTCTTGGTCAAAACCCATTTGCGCAAATGGGTTGAACGGTGAAGAACTGAGTTTAATTAGGATTCCTGTGAAACATGACCATGGGTATGTGTTTTTGTTTTTTGAGGTGGACAAAGTTATGCGGGTTTCTCAAATAGGGGACCCCTTTCGGATGGTTTCAAAGGGACACCACCTGGAGGAATTGGTCCCCAATTTTGAGAACCACCCCATAGGACCTTGCCACCAACCTCCATATGCCTGATCCTGGCTTCAGTTCAGAAGATGGTTTCCACCCCCGAGCTGGTTTCAAGGGAGTGCCCGGGAAAGCACAACACATATTTGGGGGATACCCTTAGTTATAAACATTAATGTAAATAGCGGCGGTATCTTCCATGAACCCCTCGACATTGGCTTAGCGGAAACCAGCCACCTTGGATGGTAAACCAACTTGCTGCTTCTCCGTAAGGAATGCCTCTCCGGGCCCGGGCTTGCGGGGTCCCCTCAAAGGAAACCACCAGTTGGCATGTTTTTTTTGGGGGGGTCATTCCACCTCATTTCAAGGAAGACAAAACCGAAAAATGAAATCGGGTACCCGTATTCTAACCTCTCAAATCTGCAGGACCTAGCTGTCGATCGAGCTCGAAGCAGCAAGCGCCAAGCTCGACTCGAGGTCCGTGGGTCCGGCGTCGCATCGGCTGCCCGGCAGCGTGGGGCAGCAGCCCTTGTCCGCCCGAAGCTCGGCTCCGCTCGGTCGGGCCGATGCGCTGATGCGGCGATTCGTCACGGAAAGGCGCGAGGAAAGCCAAGAGGAGAAACAAAAACGACACGGAACTGGAGAAGGGAAGCAAAATCCGGCAAACAAATGGAACTGGAGAAGGGAGGCAAACTTGGGCTTGACCTGGGGGTTAGTGGTTGGAACGGTGCGCAGAACTGCGTGGCAAGCAACAGCACTGGGCATGTTGCTCGCATCTTTTGCGTTTCATGCTTCGCCTTGCAGTGCCGGTGCAGCTCCAAATCCAAAGTTTCTGACTGTCTGACTTTCTGCCCATTCCGAGCATCGATTGCGAAGTGAAGCTCTGGCCGAAATGTGCTTGCCCGATGCAAGCCGTGGCTTGCAAATGCGCCACTGCTGGCCCAGCTTACAACTAGTTCTTAACGACGGCTCTGTGCTGCTCGTTTGTTCATTTGCGATAGGCGAGCTTTAGGTTGCAACGTCCTGTGAAGTCAGGCCCTTACGCTTTCCCTTCAGTGGCCTTCGGGCCTTCGCATCAAGAAAGCTCGCAAAATAATTGCATTTCGGGTAAGCTTCGCAATAGCTCAAGACCTGCGGCTTGAATTGAGAAAGCGCCGGAGCTGGTGTACCAACGCGCTATGGCACCCCATGAGTGTGGTGGCTTGAGGGTAGTGTGTCATTTGTGTCTCTCCACTTTTCTTCCACACATGGACCCCTCTTGTCCCCATGGCTTACATGCCCTTCACGGCTTTCTCTGACAAACTCTTTATTGCCGAAGATACCACAAGCGGTCGGAAGGTCTTGACACGGTGCTTTCTTGCTTTCGACCGGCCATTCTAGAAACTTGGCTAGCGCGGACGCCCCTGTGTGGGCGCGACAACATCCGCAAATCCGAAGAGATCGGGCGCGATGACAACAAATACAGAACAGAACGCCTTTGTTGGTCGTGAAGGACATCTGAGCCACAATCAAAACCCGGGTAGACGAAGGTTAGTAAGGCGCAGTCCCAGCCAGAAATAGTTGCGGCCGCCTTCTTAACTCTTTACATGGTTCTGGGTCGACCACGGGGCTTTGATTGTGACTCATTTGACTCACCTGACAGTTATAGGGTAGAGGCGGTGAGAGGCTTTCGGCACGGATGCGAGGCAAGTGTCAGCGACGAAACAAGCAGCACGAGAGCAGCACAACTGTGCTGTATATGCATCTGGTGTTCACAGCCATATGCAGAAGTGGCAAGTCTGTAGAAGAGCCCTTCAGAAGTTGACCCCAAACTTTTGCAGCTATAACATCAAATTTCTAGTTGATTCTCAGATATGGGTGCATCTCAAACTAGGGGCCGCTGGTTGTTTGTTCAAACAGAAACAGAAAGCAAAGGGTGGGCCTTTGAGAACCCTTGAAGCACAAATCAGAAACACAGGCAACGGACTGGCAGTTCCAGGTGCGCCGTAACTGAGGTGGCAAATCCCCCGTCCCAGTTGCCCAGTGGCTTCCGCCCTGTTCTTTTTCAATTTTTGGCTGCCGGGTTCCCGTTTCAACTTAACCAACCCAAAAAAAAGAAGACCATGGCCATCTGAGCTAAAACAAGCAGAACCACACACAGACACTTGAGGGGGGGTCACTGCTTGTTTTGAGGCTCGGCGCAGCTCCCCAGCGTGGTCCCTGAGCGGCCCACGCTCGAAGCCCGACCCCGACGGGGGTCCGAGAGCCCAGCATTGTTGGGTTTCGAGTGAGGAATGTTGACGTTGGATCTACCCCAGCAACTAATGAGCTTCCCCTTTGGACAGCCCACACCCCACATGTGGAGCCATGGTCCCCCCCCAGGGCCCTTTGGTTGGCAGGTTGCCCATTAAGCCATAGTCAACTTACCACCAATGAGAGGGAAGCTGAATTAGCCTTGGTGGTTCAAGCAGCCCTCCGGTTCCCTAAATTTGTTTAGCTTTTTATTTGGTTTTAGCTGGGGATCTGAGGACAATAACGTGAAACCTGACGTTCGGGACCCGGTCCCTTTAAAAGGAGAATGATCCAGGACCCCCGAACGTCAGGTTCCATGTTTGGTGGGAGGGCAAGTAGAATCCGTCCTATTATGGCTAATTGAACTTCTGAGATCCGGCAGCTTGTGTGGAGAGAAGACCTGAGCAAGCAGCTGCCAGTGCAAAAAGCGGAGTAATGTTGACCCAGGATTAATAAACCCGTCCCACTATTAGGGGGGTGTTCCCTCCAAAAGTGATGAATCCCCACTAAACGGGACACCCCCCTATTAATCAACCAGAGGTTTATCACACCGCGGTTAACATTACATACTGTGGATGGCCGAAAAATCTGCACCTAAGAAACCCTGGTTTCTGAGTTTCTGATTTGATTCCCCCACAAATACCTTAAGGAACGTCATGGTCTTTTCATGGTTTCACTTGGTCCGAGATGGAAGGGACCCGCGTCCCTTGAGCTTGCAACATTTGTGGGCCGCGGGAGGAACCACTTCCAAAAAGTAAGAAGCACCATCTGCAGAAACGGAAACTTCTTGGAGGATATGAAACCTTTCTTTTTGTGGGGCAACCCATTTTCATAGAGCAACAAACCTCGAATGGGTTTATGAAATTCCGGGGTTCCCATTTTCATGGGTTGCTGCAAGGGTTTCCAGTTTCGGAGGAAGTGATCATGACTGAGCTAACCCCAGTTGCTCCAATTGTATCCATCAACCTGCTTTTGTGGGTTGAACACCCAAGCAATGTGCAGCGAGATGACGTGGTGGGAAGCCAACAGGGTTCTTTGGTTGATCTGGTCTCCTTGGGTGAAGTGAGAGGCTCAGATCCAAACGGAAACCACAAAAGGCTTGACGCCAGCCACAAGCAAAGCGGCAGAGACCAAAGTAGACCCCGAAAGCTTATGTTGGGGCTTCCATATCCCACGAGGCGAAAACAGATGGCAACTCATTGTGTTTTTGTTGTATGACCACAATATGAGTTGCACAACCCTATTCTAATTCTGTAGGCTGTCCAAGTCGATTTGTTGGCAGAGGGAGGGATCATCACAGCCAGCACCTTCCGGCTGCTCCCACTCGCGTGGAACCGGAGGGTCATCTTGAGAGGAAAATGGTCAGGTTCCATATCTGCGGGGTGGGAGAAGTCACTTGGGGTTTCTTCTTCGCTATTTGCTTCATATGGCCAAACAAGGACTTCCGTTTCAACCAACCCGAATAGATATCCTCAAAGGAAGCGATTGCCTTGTTTAGGGCATCAGTCATAAGTTCCACGCAGGATCGGCAAACTCCTGGCTAATTAGTTTGGGGGTGGCATGATGTCCCACTTAAGAGGGGATCCTTTAACATAAAACATTTGCCAGGTTGATTTTCCAGGATCTTCAAAACAGACACGTGATATGCCTATATTACACACTACCTGTTTTTGGCGTTCGAGCGTTTTGTTCTGCTCAAATCCAATTCGAGCACTTGTTGAGGTTGCCTAGCTGTTTTGGTGAAGTGCTCGAGAGAAAACGAACCCGCAACTCGAGCGCAATTTCCCGCTACTTGGGCGCAATTTTCCGCAACTCGGGCGCCCCCAAAAAGTGTGCAAAGCCAAAGCTTTGCCTGCAATCCGTGTGATTGCGTGTGTTTGCATTTAACATTACTCGCGCACTTATTTGCCACGAAAGTTCGAGCAAGCATTTGTGTATCAATGGGTCCTGCAGGTATACGATATTGTACGCATATAACGTATATACACATACGCAGATATGCGTACACATACACAGATGTACATTTACACGTACGTGTGTATATACATATATATATATATATATACATACACACATGTACGTGTACATATACATATATGTAGCGGAATTACCCTGATCTCTTGTCGGCCGAACTCGGCGGGTCTCGCCAGGCCCTTTGCTGGACACGGCCCCCGCGTTCAGCTCGCTGGGCAAGCAGGCGGGGGATTTTTTTTGGGTCCAGTGCTAGGGTTTGATTCCGATTCCATTCTTTTCAACCAGCTGTTGTTTTCAAAACACCAGCTCTGTTTTCAACCTGGGTGTTTGGATGGTCTGAAAAGATTCGGATCCCTGGGATCAGAATTCAACGAGCTATTTCAGAAACATCCATCCCCTTTCCCTAGGGTTTAGATCATTCCCCTGGCTTCTAAACAAGCTGTTCCTTTTCAAAAACCAGATCTGCTTTTTGTGGGTGTGTGATGGTTTCCTGAAAAGGATCCCTGGGTTAGACCAGGAGTTGTCCCTTGTTGGACTCACTCCTTGCGCAGACCATTTGAGTGATGACCTCCAAGGCTAGAGATACATAACTCGAAATCACCTACCCCTACCCAAATAAGGTGACTGTATAGCGGTTACGTACTTTTGGGGTATGTAAATCTGCCCTTTGGACGACCGTTTTAGGTGTGTCTTGTTTTGGAGTTGGTATAGCCGGTTTTTGGTGGTTGCAAAGGCCATCATATTGTAAATTCCCAAAAAAAAGACACCCAGTTCGTGGCAAACCAGCAGTTTTGACTCTTCTTGGCCAACCCAGTTAGAACAGCGGGCTGCACCATCACCAGGCTTGCTCTAAGTTAGCAGATGATCAAGCCCCGCTTGGTCCAGGTTCGACTGAAAGCACTGCAAAGCTCCTTTGTGATGTAAGGCCCCTAAAAAGGCCAACTCCCAGCGAGGGCAGGCACCTCCCCTGTCAAGGTCTTTTGGTTCGTTCCATGAGGAAACTTGGGCCTTCCTAATCCAGCTGACGGGATGGTTTCCTCTGGTGCGGGCCCGTTTTTGAGGCCTCGGAGTATGTCCGGGGGCTATCACTTATCAAGCCCTTATATGTGTATAAATATGTATATATGATTATGTAATATGTGGTACAGAGTTCCCATGCTTGTCAGGAGCCCCCCAAAGAGGGGACCCCCAAAAAAAGGGAACCCTAAAAAGCCGCGCATGGCCCTTCTTAGTCGCTATTAGCCCCTATTGTGATTGCGGGGTTCTATTGAAGGGCCCTTCACAACCATCTTCGGAACTTTGGCTTTTCCTTCCAACAATAGGCCCTCCCAGAACGCCCCCGAGAATGACAAGGCACACCATTTGTTTTGCTGGGCCTGGAGTCTCCATGATCCTTAAAAGATGGGTGATTGCCCAAAATTAAGGGGTCATGGACCCATTTTTTGAGGGTCATGGAGACTCTCTAGGTCCCTTTAAATCCTTTTTTAACCTTTTTTTTGGGGAGGGTTCCCCTACTGAAATAGACTACATAGAAAAGGGTACCCTTATTCTAACCTCTCAACCTCTCAAATCTGGAGGACCTAGCTCTAGGAGCTTCTCTGCCGCGACGGCTTCAGGTGGTTTCCACCTCGAAGACCTCCGCCAAGTGTTCCTTCGGCAAGTCCACCCGAGACAACACCTCCAGAATGGCCATGCGCTTCGGACGTCATTTTTTTTCGACCATGGCGTCGGTCCAATTTTTCAGGTACCTGGAACCCCAAGTAGCCACTCTTTTTCAGCCACTTGACCCACTAGTAGCTCATAATTTGGTCAAAGTAGCTGGAACACAAAGGCAACTGGGGATCTAGGTACCCAAAAATCGGAGGTTCCCTTCGGATTTCATTGAAGCTTTCAGAAGGCCCACACAAAATACCCCTAACAAAAAAAGGACGAGCCCAGTGCCTCTTTCCCTACCACTTGGGTGACGTAGGGCAAAACGGGGGCAAGTTTGTTACAATTGACTTGGAGATCGGTTTGGGAGTAGGACCCTAGAGACCGGAGATGAGGAGATTCCAAATTGGGGATCCCATTTTTTGCGACCCAGTTAAGGGACGTCCGAATTCAAGTGAATCCAAGCAGTAGAAAAATGCTCCAAACCAAGTTGCGACGAATCCAATCCATTCAGCACATGCTTTTCCCTTGGCGACCAGCGACATCCCAACTCTTTAACATATCAGGTAACCCGTAGTTGGTGGTTTGGATTGTTGGGGATTTGGCTTTGTAAATGGGAGACCCCCTATCCTGGGTGCTCCTTAAGGACATGCAAAATATGCTTTGGTATGGGTGGAGCAAACTAAAAAATGCTTTACTCTCTGTCATTGTCCGCAGCTTGGCCAATGTCATCGTTGTCACTGCCCCATTCTCCGTGTCATTGTCCGCAGCTTTGCCAATGTCATTGTTCTGTCCTTGACCTGCAGTACTCCTGATGGTCATTTGCCACTCGTGCAGCAGGTCCAGGTCCTGGCTTAAGATGGTGTTGCCACAGGATGTGACTGAAAGCCAGGTTTTTGTTGATGGCCCGCTGCCATGGTTTGTGATGCTCCAGAGGCCGCGCTATGCCCAGCATTAGCCTGAGTGGCAGGAGGGGGTTTTCGTCGGGTAGAAACAGGTGCTCCAACTCAGACTCTCTCCCTGCCAGGACTTCCATTCCACGATTGCTCGGTGTGGGCCTGAGTGAGGTTGCCATGCACCCTCGAACTTTCAAATGTCACGGGGTCGTCGCTGCCCAGGAGTCGCGCCGCACTGTCGGCCACCAGGATGCTGAGGTGGAGGCGCCGCTGCCGTTTTGTTGCTGTCGCATCGTCATGACCACTGCAATCATCATCCCACCATTGTCCTTGTGCTAGACTACCACTACCACCACCACCACCACCGCCACCGCCGCCAGCACCAGCACCAGCACCAGCACCAGCACCAGCCCACTTCCTTCCTTCCTCCCTTCCTTTTTCCGTAGTCTTCGGTCCTCTTCCCGTAATCTTCCGTCCTCTTGCCCTAGTAGTCTTCTAGTCTTCCGTCCTCTTCCGTCCTCTTCCAGTAGTCTTCCGTCCTCTTCCTGTAATCTTCCGTCCTCTTCCCGACATATGACATAGGGCTGACGGGACTCCCCGGAAGCACGCAGCCGCCGCAGGCACGCTGCCATTGCGCCACAGCCCTGTTCTTCCACTGTGTCCAAAATGCATTTCCTGATGATACTTATCATCATCATCATCCATTTCAAGTGTGGCCCATTGATGATTCAGATTCAGAGGATGCCACAATGATTGGTATTTTCACAAGGTCATCATTGATCATCATCATCATCATCATCATCGTCACCACATCATCATCATCGTCCTCATCCTCATCATCATCATCATCATCATCATCACGATCGTCATCATCATCATCATCATCATCATCATCATCATCATAATCATCATCATCATCGCCATCACCATCATCATCACCATCACCATCATCAGCATACTCATCATCTCATCATGCATCACGATCACCAGCACCATCTTCAGCAGCAACAGCAAACAAGCTGCAGCTTCGACATCATTAGCAGCCGCAGCAGCAGCTGTTTGCTGCTTCTGCCATTGCCAATGCTGCTCATGCTGGTTTTTGCTCCTGCTATTTCTGTTGTTGATGCTGGCGCCTGCTGTCGGTAGTGTCCGAGATGCCGCCGCGCGTGGTCTTGCTGTTGAAGCTGCCCTTGGAACTGGTTATGTTGTGTTGGCTGCGTGGCAGTGATGTGTTTGTTTGGGTATTGTGTCTGATTTGTTGTTTTGTGATGCCAAATTCGCTGGCAGGCTGCTCGCGCCCATCGACGAGATCGGTCCAGGCCCAGGTCTCGCCCATGAATTGGCAAGGACACCTGCCACTTGAAGCGACTGCACTGTCATTTATCATTTGTCAGTGTCGTGTTCGACACAATGTTGCAGAACTTTGTTTGTGTCAGGCTTTGCCAGTCTTCTTTCTGAACTTGCCCAACATGGCCACGGCCATGGCTCAGGTCACCCTGGCCCAGTTTGTATGTGTGCTGTTGCCGCAGTTGCGCAGTCAATGATGACAGTGTCGTGCTTGTTGCGGGCTGGTTGTGGGAATCATGGTGGCCACCGCAGCTGTGTCCAGCCAAGCGTGTCATTTGTCAGTGTCATTGTCATTGTCGGCAGGATGCAGGCAGGCCGCTTGTTGTCATGAAAACTTTTGATATCAATGTCAAATTAAATTGTTTGCGCGCAATGCCATCCGTCAGTGTCAGCTGTCTTGCCGCCTGTCACTGCCCCGCGCAGGATGTGGTCGTATGGCCGGACTTCGTGATCATCATGGGCTGGGGGAAGAAGAAGAAGCAGCGAGTTGCGCCTTGACAACACACTTGTCTGTCAGTGTTTTGTGTGTATTTAGTCAGTGCTTTTCCAATTCTCATTTTTCATAATGTGTCATTTGCATAAAATTTGCCATTGTCAGTCAAATTTACAGTGTCATTTAGTTTGTCATTGTCACAGTTGTTTCCTGGGCTGAGTCGGTGCCCTTCGACGGACGAGTGCTGCAAGTTCCCGGCGACCTGTCGATGCTGGGGCAAAGCGTGGTCTATCACGACCTGCTGGAACTTCTCCCGGAGTCGCAGAGAGGTGAGCTGGGGCAGCGCTGCAAGAACCCTGGCATCTTTGAGGCCACTCAGAGGTCTGCGGCTTGCTAGCATTGGAAACTATTTTCCGGTCTGCCGTGAAACTTGTTTTGAATAAATGTTTACATGTAGTCAGTCAGTCTCAGTGTCAGTGTCAGTTAGTCAGTGTCACTGTCAGTTTAGTCAGTGTCAGTGTCAGTTAGTCAGTGTCAGTGCCAGTTAGTCAGTGTCAGCCAGTTTCATCACTACGAGGTGTTCAGCCACCCCGGGGCGAAGAGGGCGCTGAAGAGGATCTTGGAGGCGCCAGCGGAGGTGGTGCTGATCAACTGCCATGCTGGCTGGCACAGGACACCGGCCTTCTGCATGTTGCTGAGCGCATTGCTCACTGTACCTTGTCAATGTCTCACTGTCATTGCTCATTGTCGTTGCTCGAAACAAATATTATTTGATTAAGTGGTTGATTGCTTATTTTCATGTCTGTCATTTGTCGGCTCAACAGTGTCCGCTGAGGCATGTGGCGTCGGCAGCGTCTGCCTCCTGCCCAGCCTGTCGGAGGACCTGGAGTACGACTTCCGTGTGGCAATGCAGTTTGCGCGGGATAAGAACAAGACCTTCGAATCCGCGCTTCTTGCCCACAACCGGCCAAGTGTAATAATTTAACGATCTGTTGAATTGAGTGTCAGTGTCAAGCCATCCGCCATCTTAGGATTCGTTGGCAAGATTGGGCTGCTGCCTGCACGGGATCCTTCTTCGGCAACGGCCGCCAAGTAACCTGGCCCTGGCAAGACGCCCAGCTCCAGGTGGTGAGGGTGTGGGAGGAGTTGAACGGCCAGCGCCTCGCCCGCGACAAATGTTTGTATTTTTGCGAAACGAATATCATGTTGATTGTCCTTGTCGAATTTCAATAGTCAAGCATCATCACCACCTTCGAGTAACTGTTGAGTAACTTGGTCAGTTTCTTCGGTGTCAGGCTCCTGCTCCTGTCAATGTAGAGTATTGGATGGGCTTGAATATTGTCATTTGGTATCATCTGCCAAACAGCACCCATCGTCGAGCGTTGAGGATGTCCTGTCAAAGTATTGAGGCAGTAGTGTCACGGGAGTGAGTCTGGCACTTGTCACTGTCAGCTGTGATGTTTGAGTGTACTTTGCAAACTTCCTGCCAGGATCCAGCTCCGCATGCGGAACCAGTCCCTCCATGATAAGAACATGGCGGCAGGTTCAAGGCCGGCCAAGGAGCCAAAGCCGGTGGAGGAGGCGGAGACGCCGGGTGCCAGTGTCAGTGTCACGGATGATCAAGACCCGGCGGATGTCAGTGTCAAGGATGAGCAGGAGCCGGCCGTCAATGTCAGTGTCAAGGATGAGCAGTGGGAGGAGGTGAGCGTCATTGTCGAAGATGACCAGCGGGGGCCACATCCGCCAACCCAGCAGCATAACCTGCTGGAGGATGAGGTTGTGCCACCCTGCAGCAATTGGCAGCTATTCGTGGTTGTTAAACTTAGTTGTCGACATTGACATGACAATGTGACAATGACCGCAGTCTAAGTCTTGCGACTCAACAGTTGTTGTGTTGAACCGGCCAGGCAAAGCATCCTGGATGACAGCTGGATCCAGCCCAGCTTGAGGAGCCAGCTGGCCGGCATCCCGAGAGCGCGAGCCCTTCGGCTTTTGCCGCTTGGCTTCAGCTTTTCAGCTTTCACGCAGCAATGTCATGAGCGCAGGGAAATTGTCATTTCCTTGAACTCGATTTCAACAATGCACCGTCCCCGAGGATGAAGCTTGTCGAGTTCGAAGGCCGGTCCCATGCGCCGCGCAACATCAACAGCTGGCTGAGAGCAGCAATTCAAGAAGAGGCTCGATCTTGAACATGAAAGAACGCCTTCTTCCGTCGTGCGAGTGTGCAGAAAAATGATGGCCGCCGGTGCCTTCTAGACATTGACATATGACAATGACGGATGCCGCCTTGTCAAATTGCCATTTGTCATTGCCTGTGAATGGTCTTGCAGCCTGTTGCTTGCCAGGTTGCCGAATGCACGGACTTGC